TACTTGGACCACACCACTCCTTTCTTCAATAGACTAAATATTTTAAATCTTTAGTTATCTTTATCGAATTATCTCTGCCTGGGCCTATTAAATGTTATGTTTATATAATATTCACAACATGCTTTTGCAAGTGTTTGATTATTTATTTTCATTTGCGCCCTCATTTTACTTACATGGGACAGTAGTTCATTAAGATGCGACTTACATGGGAAAAAAAAGAACATCATTTGCAAAAAATTCTATTTTAATGTGGTGATAAATAATTAACATGTGTACTTAGAATATAAAAGAATCGGGACGAATGTGTTCTGCATCTGGCAAGTTGAAACTGCATATTCAAATTGGGAACACGGAGTCAGACGTGGGTCCTCCTCCTCCAAGACCATAAATCACGCCTCTCTATAGATGTGGAGGGAATAATTATCGACGATAGGCCCACGTACTGACGCAACGCAAATGTCAGCTACCACCTTCTTTAATTAAAGGATCCAGGAAATGACCTTTTCTTAGAATCACTTTCTGTGTATCTCTGTACTCTTCTTCCATGCATGAAGACAGTTTGACATCTTTTTTGAGTTAGGTGAACTGAGCAGTGCACCAAGCATTTCTGGACTGTAGTACATTATCTGGTTTTCTTACCCGTTTACATCCTCTGACGTTTGTCTCAACCCAAAATGTGCACAATTGCATCAAACGCATATATTTTTGAAGACAATATTATCAATGTATACAATCCTTTTTTTCCTTTGAAAGTTACCAAGCAAGCCCCTGATCAGGGTTTTACCTTCCTGAAACGTAGCCGGTGGCCTCTAGTTCAGCCGCAGGAACGCCGTTGCTATATCTTCGGTAGTCAGTGGCGTATCCAGTGGGGGCGGCGGGGGTCGTTTTTACAAGAATACTTAGGTGGGCAGGAAGGAAAGTAAGCGGTTAATTTATTCATCAAATATTAGCGATAAAACAATGCGAAACAACACCAGCAATCATGTGCCAATTCTGACATTCACTTCGACAATTTCATCATTCCACTCGTTATTTTCACTGTTTTATCTGACAATTTCATCATTCAGTGAGTTGGCAATGTCAACAGTTTCCATACGGAGATTTCAATATTCTTTACATTACATTACCGTCGCTATGGGGACAACAGTGTATAAGCATGTGAATGGAGATACATACATCACTCCATAGATTACCGTCAATATGGGGACTCCATATAATAACCGTCACTATGGTGTTGTCACTGTGAGGCTGATTTTGGTTCCCTTCATTTAATTGCTCTATTGCCAAATATAGGTCCTGTCTTTCCTAAGTGGTGGTAAATTACCACCCAACGAACTGTTCCAAGTCTTAGCCCGCCGTTCGTTAGCTGATATCCCCTTGTGTCAGTGTAGCCGCTTATCCTTGTGCAAGTTTAATAAATATATTTGTGGGGTTAGGCCAGGTAAATTCCACCTTCGTTCAGGCGGTCTACTGGGTCCGCCACAAGAGGTGTCCCAAGCTGTCCCGCCACAATACTAATGAGTTTTAATTAATGAACACTAGGGCAACTTTTCAGGATATTTGTAAACCCGTTGTAGCCTCAGAAACCATTGCGACATAAGCTTTAATTTGGTCACATCACGAACGCATCATATGGTCTGTTACCTTGAACAAGTGTCACATGACGCTCAAGGAAGTGTTGATTAGGTGTTGTAATGACTGATAAGTATTTTCACTTTAATAAAACGTGCGTATGCGTTTGATCATTATTTCTTATAGTGCCACTTCTTTTGTTACAATGAATGATCACGTTTTCCTCATTTCAGCAACGAAACGGAAATGAAATTTACTTCCTTCGATTAAAGTGTCATTTGATTTACTGACACTTCTTAATGGATGAAGATGCGGCGTCTTGGGTAAGCATGTTTGGATAGGGTTGCTCAGTTCGTGGGCAATTCCATCCCAACTTGACATTTTCACCGGAATATCCAGTGCATTTGTGTAGATAACGCGATCGTATGACATTGCTTTGAGGTGGAGAGGGCACACCCGCAAAACAGAGGAGTTTGTTGTAACGTGGACTACGTTTTGAGCAAGATGGAGATTCTGAACATTCTATCAATTTCCATTGGAGTGATAGGCCTTGCTGGCAATTTCGTCGTCTGCTTGGTGATTTGGCGCATGAAAGACTTGCATACATTGACCAACGCCTTCATCTTCAACCAAGCAGTTGCTGACTTGTTATGTTCATTGGCGCTGTTTCTGTGCACAACCCTCCCGATCCCCGATCCGTTACCTTCTGGAGTATCTGGCTTGCTACTGTGTTATATGTTGAAGTCTGAAACTACCTTGTGGCTCTTTATGAACACATCATCAATCAGTCTGGCAGCTTTAACCCTCGAAAGATACCTGGCCATTGTGTTTCCCTTCTGGTACCGGAAGATCACATCGTCAAGGCGGCCTCCTGCGATCGCCATAGTGTTGACGTGGATTGTAGGCTTCAGTCTCGGATGCGTTACCAGTATCTTCCTCGTCGATTATTCAGGGAGCGAGAATCGATGCCGATACACCACGCTTTCCCCAACATCAGATCCTGCACACGGAGTCATATTCGCCTTGTATCTCGTCTACTTCATGACCACCGCTGCCACTATGCTACTGGCTTACATTCACATTATTGTCGTTTTGAAACGGAGTGCACGGCTAAGGATCCGGCCGACTACCATAAGGCGATCAGGAATTAGGCAAAAAAGATCGCAAGAGCACCCGCTACTCCGTGCGAGACGTAATGTCATCTGGACCTTAATCTTAGTCTTTGCGGTCTATATCATATGCTGGCTACCCAATGAGATCATGTCTGCATTGGGAACCACGGGACTTCCTCTTCGGGTATCAGTCCTACTCGTGGCCAGCAACTCCTGTGTGAATCCCGTTATCTACGCCATTAAGTACAGATCTTTCAGAAACGGACTCAGACAACTGTTTTGTAAATGTTCTTGAGATTCATTGAGAAGTTTGTATCTCTTATTCTGTGCAACTGTTTGAGAAACCATGCCGCATATTTCTACCCGGAAATTTTTCCTCTCGAATAAGTGTTGGGCGATCTTATTTTTTTTGCAATTGTTGCCATCTTTGGTGTTTTGTGCCATCTTTTGCATGTTTCTGCATGCATAAAATTAATAAATGCAACCTCTTTTGAGTAGGCCTAACTATAGGAACGTCGCCGGCATCGTTACCAAGGTTGTCCTGAAACGTCAGCAACTTCTGCATGACAATTTGAGTGCTTGGTCGCCATCGATCTTTAAAACTATGTGAGTGCATTTGAAAAGGCCCTTCTGCGAGGAGTGTCTGCATTTTGGTGTATGCTTCGAAAAAGCCTCATTTAATGCAATGACTTTATTCCAAAAAAAAAAGATACTGTGTAAAAGCATGTACAAATAGTTACACCCTCATTTCCGCTGGGCAAGAAGAAGCCGATTGTTAATACAATGTAAATCTAGGATGCTATCGATAGCCAATCAGAACAGTAGTTTGAATCTTGGCTTAACAACAGTGCAATTTAATTCACTCTTATTAAACTGCGTCTACTCATTTTAAAATTTTAAGCTACTTACCATAAAATAATTACAGACATCAATTACTAGGAATAGGCATCGCGAATTCAGGAATTTCTGAGTGCAATGTTCTGACTGGGTTTTAATGAACAACATATTTTTTGGCTATTCAAGGGCAAAGCAAATTTTGTTTGGATCGCGGCCTTGAGTTTTAAAATGTCGCAATTAACCGAAGAGTATTGAAGTAAAGGAGTATTTAATCATCAAAATCTCAAGAGATATTGAAAATAGTAGACAGATTGACGTAAAAAAATGAACTGTAACAGATTAATTTACGACTCACATGGCATCATACAAGGCTTATTATTGCACACTTACGGAACTCATGTTGAAGTTACCAAAAAAACCCCGAATTTTTCGCGTTTGTTTATATAGCTTTTATCTAGTTTTTCCCTTTAATTTTGGTCGATCCTTCCAACCACTTGCTTAAAATCCAGGCCAGTTATTTACTTTCCACTTGTTACATCTAATTCTTTCAGATTACCTTGTCAGAATTGGTTCTACTAGTTCAGTATTATTTGAATCCATTTCGGAGACTGATGGAGCAAATCGGAATTAATTTAATTTCAAAGAACTATACGCCAAAAAGACAGTATAAAATAACAATTCCTTGGCCTGAATTTAACAAAACATTTATATCCACTAGTGTTATATTTTCCACTTTGAAGACATTTTGGTGTTGCAATGAAGAATACATTCGTCAGGTATGTAACAACAGGCATTTCCCCAATCAATTTGTATGAAAAGTAGGTTTGGTCTTGTATAGCAATGCAAAGGTTTCAGCAGCACTCCATACATTCTAAAAATGTCCGGGTCAGATTGACCCACAATTGGGTCCCATTCGGTATGACCCTTTTCTGGGTCAAAACATGGCCCCCTTTCGGGTCATATTTGACCCTCTCTGGGTCATAATTCTGGGACAATCTGACCCGGACGTTTTTAGAGTGTATTAGTATAATTTAATTGGTGCACTTGATGTCTCCCATTTAAATCTACTTTCATTTAGCGGATAACGCCATTTTTTTGTGCTTGGAGATGTAACGTCTGGTATACTGAAATATCGCACTTCGACATCAGCTTGTGCAGATAATCCGTAAAGATTAATTTGAAGGCATCAGGTGAAGACTAGATTTTCAAAGGAAAGCCCCCACATAGTTTCATAAAGTTTAGATATCTACAATGATTCTTTACGTCTTACTCTTAACGAGGCCCGGTGATATTTCGGCGTTCCGGCCTCATAGTCCCGTGCCCTGTTAAACTCTGATTGTGTATGGGATTCTGTGTTTCACGTCAGTTGGTAGTACAGCATGTTTCCCGGGCTGTGAACTGGCTGGTGCCCAGTTCCTCTCTTCAGATAGATAACTGTACGCTCTGAAATATGAAAAACCCAAAGCTTAAGTGTTAAAGAGCGCTGTATCTGTTGTTGTATTGTCTCCTAATTCTTCAGACGATGAAATACTGGTGCAGGTACTCTTTGGTGTGTAAATTTAAGTAGCTTATATCATCACAGTGTGTGATCCTTCTGATATACATACAAAACGTAAAGAACTCTTTAACTTTGTGATTTTTTGAACTAGTAAGAAATGTTGTATTGCAAGAATATCAGAAGCCCTAAATACAGAAAGACCAGCGGATAACAAAATAATTTGTAAATTAACAGGCCTAAACTTAACGCCGCGTTTAGATTTTCGCAGTATGCAGTCAAGTGTATACATGTGTATTCAAATTATTCACATTATTACCTGTCCATGTTTTCTCTGACGTCATTACAAATGCTGTGCATTGATCTTCTTGGTCGCACAAGTGTTTTGCTTCGTTTTCGTCGAAAGCTGTTAGGACGCAGCTGGGTCCACCCATCTGTAATGAGGCAGTGCACCAGAAATCGCCCTGGTGGGGCAAGTCGGTATCAACGAGAACGTCGTACTCATTCCCTGTACCTGGTAGAACGGTTAAGATCAGACATGGCTCAGTCTATGTCAAAGAAAAGATGAGGAACTAGGGTGGGGGAGTGTTAGTGTTGGCACTGATGGGACCGCATTGCTTGCGTTTCAAGGTCGTTCGTAAACTAGCGAAAAGCAGTTCCCAGCAAAGCGCCATCTTCTGGTCTCGCTCGAGGCCCGTACGGGTGACAGTTATTATGTTTAAGATCTCATGCTGTATTGCTCTTTGTGTAAGGATAGAGTGTACAAGATATTGCAAGAGTCACGTGTCTGCGGTGTTGTAGACAGAAAAACCTGACGTGCAAAGAAATAAACTAGCTCTTAGTATGTGAGAAGTGCTGTTCTGCAGATAGTCAATCACACTTTAGCGTACAAGTCTGAAACTTGGTCCTTTTTACCAGTAATCATCAGTAATTAAAAAAAAGATATAACTCAAGAAAAGAAATTGTCTGGGTCCAAAAAGGGGTTCATTTACGGTACACTTTCCGTACAAACAAAACGGGGTTCGGTTACACTTTTGTGTAGAAACAAATTACTTCACTTTTCTTGTCGCATCAAATGTCTTTGAAACAAAAGTAATGCTCATTCCTGCCATTTTCGGATAAGAAGGGGTCTTTTTACCCATGTCCTCCATTATACACTTATGCGTATATGGAAACTTCGTAAGCTGGTAGGTATTAACATAAGTACTGGAAACAAAAACAATACTCAGGAAAAGCTCACTCTTGGAATTATGTATAAGGAGGGGTCTTTTTTACCCTTTCAAGTGACAAAAAGGAGTCATATGTCACAATGAGGAACAAACATTTGAGAATGACATATCAGATCTAGAGGTATATGTACTTGCATCCTTCGCTCCTGTATTCAGTACAAATAAACTGGAACTCCGAATATTATACTGCACGGCTCCAGCCTTGAAGCGAAAATGAATGTTTAAAGTTTGGATGGCCAATGTCCACTGACAGGTTGACCGCATCCAGCTAATCAATACCACTGTCCTCAATATCATCTTCAGCAGTGTAATATTTCTCATCGTCCTCACTGTCGCCTTTGAGGGACTATTAGGCACTGCAGAATCGGGCAACTGTGGCCCATCACACCATACAATACTGTATAGAGGGATCCCAATACGACGCTTTTAGCGTCGATCTGCGCATTTCCGCGTTTGAAAACGAGGCTGTATGTGTTAGCTTCAATTCTTAATACGATTAGACGACGAAAGTAAGGAGTCAAGACACAAAACACATAAAGGTTTGTTAAATTAAGACTGTCCAGGCTTCAACTTTTTGTGGAAGAGTCTTTTAGGATGACTCAACACGTAAAATCAAAAGAAAAAATAACGGCAATTTACCGCGAACTAACTTATCTGCGATGGTCGTGCATCTTTGGCAGTGGGCGTGGTTTAAACTGAAGTGGTGTCACACTTACGAACCAGATACTGCATATACTGTGTCGACTCTGCGGGCGCACGAGAGGAAGTTCAACACAGAGAGCCTCGGTTTCGATGCAGATATGCGCAGATGGAGCTAATGTAAAATCCCTCTATATGACTGACTCCATCATATCAGGCCAAGACTCAAGCCAAAGAACTGAAGGAAGTTTCCTCAACCTCCTTTAGTTGCCTACAAGGTAACCAACATCAAGAAGAATACTGTCAGAGCCAAACTCAGCCATGTAGAACACAACCAATCCTCCGCACTTGAGGAATCTGACAACATCCTGGATATTCTAGTCTCACTATTGGATGAACAAGTCCGATCCGACTAATTGTGTTAGTAATATCACCCAGATAGACGGTTACCCCGTACTTTCAGTCAAGTGAGTGCCACTCAACTTGTTAAACCTCACCTGATTTAATTTCTGAATAATTTCTGACGAATACCCCAAGGAACGAAAATGCATTCCCGCTATTTCTCAGGTGAACCCCAACCCATAGTTTGGGTAAATATGGTTCTGATCAAAACTAATTTAATTTCGTTCCTATTATTTCTACCCTCCCGAAACTCCACTGCAGTCTCCATGTAGAAATAAATCACGCAATGACACACCGTCAAATGAACATGTGCTCTTTCAAAAGCACCCAACGTTTGTTCGTTGAGAGAGTTTGTTCGATCTATGAGAGAGCGCGTCTCTGAATTGGATAAAGTACCATCACTTCTCATCCCCAACCATCAATAAGTAGCTTATAAAGAAACGGATTCTGTTAATCTCCTTCAATGTTAGCTTCTTTCCTGACAAATGATTCCGACAATCTCCCTCCAGGGAGGGGTTTTCTCAAATTTCAGTGGGTACAAAATACATGTAGACCTGGTAAAAATGAAATTCTGCCCCTGACCCTGTCTCGTCTGCAAGATGTTTCAAAGTTATCAGCCAATATTAGGAATGAGAGTCTGTCTGAATATGACATTTACCCCTATGATAGGACCATTAAAGTCAAATAATTATGCAACGCCATTTCCTCTCTTGAGTTATAATTTTTAATCACTGGTGATTACTGGTAATATAGGGCCAAGTTTCAGACTTGTACGCAACAGTGTAATTGAAGGTGAATGAATTTGGGGGGGGGGGTTCGGGGGTCCCCTATTCCTCAATTAGTGCTGGGAATGGTGCATTCAAGAAATGGGTTTTCTTCGCTACCTTACTAATACTTGAAGATAGCCATCATCAAACCTTTTGTACGCAATAGTGTAATTGAAACCGAGCTCGCTCCCGAACTATAGGGCATAAAATATTGACAGTTAAAAATTGCCATTAGAACCAAACCTGTATAAAAGCTCTGGTTTTCATCCTCTGCGTAGTTGAGGTATGTCCCACTGCGGTATAGTTGCAGGATCCGTTCCAACTGCTGATAAGTTTCCTGGGAACCAACCAGTGCCTCGCCTGGTTAGTAAAAATAACAATAACATACAGTTAATTGTTTCTCTACTGGGAATTTAGATAAAGGAGACGTTGTAAATGTAACGTCCATTGTAACATTGCTATTGGTAGATACCACCATTACAGTCATGATTTGTATTCCTCACTTCTGGCCGGGCTGGGTACGCCCCTCATGGCTTATTTCTAAAATTATTTCTTTTGTAAAGCCACGTTGAGTGAACAAATGATATGTACTAGTCCACTATAAATTGGGTAGAACCTTCCATGCTCTGTTAGCCATACCACCTTTGGCCAGCAGCCCGCTGACATGGTCTAGCTGCTGCAGTCAAGCTAGCTATACGTGGGCATTCTACTTGGGTGTGGCGATTCATCACAACATCCTGGGCGCTTCGATCGAGCAAGCTATTGAGAGTTCATTCAATAACATGAACTGTCAGCGCGGGTGCAACAACTTATCCACGAAAGTGCAGATCCTCCTTGCCTTCAAGCCTTGGTACCCGCAAAATCAGTCACCAGCGCCCCATTAGCAGACCAACTGGACTCCGTGACTAACAGCGAAACCTACTATCTTGTTTAATTCTCATGTTCACCGGGTCTCCATATTTTCCTTAGAATCGGCCGATTTCTGAATTTATTATTGTATAAATGTAACTTTTATTGTATTTAATTTTAGTCCTGAATTTGATTTTGGTGTTTAATTTAATCCTAGCGAATTAACTCCGAATTGCAATTTCGGTTTCCCCCGTCTTGTTAGTTGTTCGTTACCATTTTTGGCTTACTACGTTTATTCTTTCCATAATTTTGCTTTACTGCCGTATGTGACGTACTGGGCTTATTGTTTGGTAACACCAGTCCAATAAGCCTTTTGCGAATTAAATTTAAATAAAATCTGGTACACTGAGTTCTTTAAAAAATTCACGTGAACATAACAATTTGAATTCTTCACACTAAACACACTGTTGCTATACCTCGTGATTGGGCGCATGCTTTTGCTCAGTTACATAAGAGAGATGCCTTGCAACAATACACGGTTCTCAATGGATAAGAAGGGCAAAAAGGAACCAGCCCATTCCAGAGAAGGTAGTCGCTATGCAAAAGCTTGCCCCGAATCACGATGTAACATATGCAGCAAGGTATGAGACGGAGAGAACCCCCCCCTGCTTTGTGTTGGTCATTGTCTCGCAGGAATCTGGGGAATTCCTTTCAGACATCTTGGGAGGGGATGTGTTAAGTAACAATAGTCTCGAATGTGTATAGTGATTGGACATGTTGGGGGGGTACCCCTCGGTCTCATTTCTTGCTGAGTATACGATGTAAAGCAACAGTGTTTTTAGTCTGGGGAATTCAAATTGCTTTATGTGCAATCAGATAAGTCATTGTACCAGATCTTATTCAAATCTTAACTCGCAAAAAGCTTACTAAGGACTTTTGGAATTCTTTACACTCAGGTTCATACCTGTTTTGTTAACAAGATCAGTGACCATCACTCGCAGGCTGGATGGAGTTTCGAACGGTAACAATGTAAAGAAAATTTTATAAGCGCTGTACACATTCCTCCTATCGCTATAATATAGACACTTCCCGTCTACGCACGGTAGATAGACCGTTGAAGAGCTACCGAGGAGGGCGCAATCCACAGGTGTACGGCATGTAACTGGTTTGTCGTCTACGTCATCCAGGTCTACCAGTTTAATCTGAAATGGATTATTCAGTTAAAAAATGATGAGCTCGAAGCGGGGACAGTCATTTGCTAAAAATCAATTGAAAAATTCTACTCAGGATTCAGGGAACATTTGCCACTTTTTTAAAAGCAGGATTTTCGGACTGAGTATCATCGGATGCATGATAATGTGCCACGTGGCAGCTAGAAACACAGTTTTCTAAAGTACAATCCTATAAAACCAAAACGCACGTCCCAAATGGAGCTGCTGTAACTACTAAAGTAGAAACCCGGCGATGCAAACAACATACCTTTGTACGCATAGTTACACATAATTGTACTTGTTTTGGTATCCTTTTTGAAAGTGTTGCTCCTAAACTTCAGGAATTCTCAACTTCCACAAAACCTTAACTTTTCATGCATTGCCTTAGAAACCTGAAGTTGAAAATTCGGGTCTTCCGCAGCATCTTCGGAAATTTCAGTATTAGCTACCATGGCAACTAAAATAAATCCCTTTTTTGATATGAAGCATCTTCAAAAAGTGTTTCTTCCAACTTATTTTTTTCATTTCGGCTTTCATACCTCGCCGTCCACTGTAACGAACTGAGAAGGTTTGAAGTCGTGGATGCCGAGGGAGCCAACAGAAGAATTACTCAGATAATACATCAAACGACTCACTCCAAGAGATATCTGAACAAAAAGAAAACACAACGTCATCAAGTCACTTATGAAGACAGATGGGAAACCAATTACGATTGTGTTTACTTCATGTGAATTTCGACATTTAACATATACCTACAAAATATGCGGGCCTTATCTTGCAAATCATCTGGGAACTTAAGATGAGTCCCAACTCCAAGGCTGATCTTTGGTAAGACGCGTTCTAAAAACACTTTCACTAAACCCATCATCGGAAAGGTGCATTAAGACCATAAATTTGGTGGCTGTCTCATGTTCCTTTTTTGCTGATGACGAAATAGTCGTTGAAACGAATGGCCAATTTCCTCTGGCCATGTACGTTCGCGTGTATAGAACAAAAACCTTTGGAGAGAAAAATTTATCATTAATGCTTCGAATCGTTTCTTTATTCTGGTTTAATTAGAGAAATACTGGTGTTTGTTTTTATTAAATTTGGAAAAAAATCTACTTTTTACTTAACAAACACGTATAAGAAATCTTTGCAATTTTGATTCTGCAGCGGTTTTCTTCTTCGTAATTGTTCATTTTATAACTCTTACACGACATTCGTCTGTCATTTCCAATGATTGCTACACACTTTGTTAAGGTAAGACTACCCTCAGACCTGTTTTAATTTGAGTTGACTTGGTATGCAAGTCAGGAAGTATTGAATAAATCTGAAGTTTTGTGAAATCATTTTTAAGAATGAGTTGCAAGATAAGACAAGTTACCTTTGCTGAGTTATGTCTAAGCGTCTAATGAAATTGGCCCATGATCACGAGCAACTTCTACAGCTTTTTATTCTTAACAGTAGGCCAAAATAATGCAAAGAAAATATTTGGAGGTTGAAGATGCTGTAGCATTCCTTGAAGCGATTTTACCGGTGCTAAAATCAATGAAAAGCATGAAAATAGTTCTCGTCTTTAACTCCTTCTTGAGTTCTTTCAAAAAATTATGTAAAAGACGATGTTACATTATCGGGTATTTTGGTGACCATTACCATGTGCTACTTAACAAGCAATACAACTGCGCACACATCTTCAACAATCAATTAGTACCCATGTTTCTAGTGATAAACAACTTCTTTTCTCTGCCTTTAAACGCCAAAACTCTTTACGTGGCAACAAAACCAAGAAAATCACATGACAATGGCCACAGATGATGGTGGCACAATACGTATGTAAAGAAGGAATGACTGTATGGATTAACGGTTGAAATTATCGAACTTCTCAATTTTACAATGAAACGACGTCAAAATTTAGTCACCCTCAGTCTGTCTTCCCAGGACATTTTCAGTAATTCCAGGAATGTGATTGGATGACCATACTCTGTAACCATGGTAGTAGTGCGCGAGGAGTCATTGATATCAATCTTCCCGGGCAGGCAGAAACCTAATACCTGATTGTAAAGATAGAGAAAAGACAAAGTTAAGCACACATTACTGTATTTTGGGCATTTGAGTTGTGGATTCTTTAAGTCACAGATGCTGGCCAAACATGTATACCGTGACTTTCTCGGACACTCCAAACGTTTTTCTTGCTATTAGTTAGTAAACATGCTCAACTGCGTCAACAATAGCATATTTCAAGTTTTGATAGATGTTGTTTAGCAACTGAATATTTCAAGATGTACATTGTACTTTTGCGTCGGGGAGATGTGAATGATAATTACCGGTTTTGTTCTAACGATGTTACTTTATAGAGTATTTTGGTAAGCCTTATCCATGTGCTACTTAACAAGCATAGGTTCGAGTCCCACCCGAGTAATCTTGTGAATTTTTCACAAGCTCTCAGACAAGCACTGAGTATGCAGTGTTTATAAATATAAATATACGTTGTGTTACAGCAAAACCCATGATTAAAATTAAAACTCCCCGACGCAAAAGTACATCTTAACATAGTTTGCAGTACTCGCTGCTACATCTGACTCGGACCGGCCANCACAAGTTCAAGGACAAGCACTGACTATACAGCGTTAATATATATACGTTGGGTAAGGGCAAAACCCGTAATTAAAATCAACTGAATGTTTATCTAATTTATGAACTGAACATCTAATGTTTAGCATGTAAAGATGTGTTTTGTTACTGAACACAGTTTCTGGGGTACAGTGCCGAATAAGACTATCGGTTATTTGATATCTAAAGAGGTCATATATCCAAATCACATCGAGCATAAATAGTTGGGTATATACAAAGTTGTCTGCTCACAAAACCCTCTCAATATTTGGGAGCTGTCACATAAAAATATCGCAGTCAGAGGTATAAGGTATTCAAATAAATTTTTGATATCCTCTGATTCCGGGAGAAAACCGACAATGTGCTAGAAGGTATATTTGCAGATTCTTGTTTCTTCATTGACGAATCATCCTAACGTCATACACCAACAACTGGACTGAACTGTACGTGGGGTGCAGTGACTCTTAATACTATGACACGGCAGTCGGCCAATAATATACAACTCAGAATTACGTGTCATGGAAAGTAAAGTTAATGCAGCCATAAAGTATCGTTAGCGGCTGTTTACAGACGAAGTCATCCAAGTTAATTTGTTCGTGATCGTAGGCGTATCCACATGATACAACACGTACATGGGTATGTATAAGGTTGCAAAAATTTAGTTTTGGCACGGCTCGCATATCCGTAATGATGCACGTGGCAACGTAGCAACATTGGTGGCGCTGTTTTCCTCACAAACAAACTCATTTACCCAAAATGTAATTCAAAGGCATTGCAATCCAAACAAACGATACGTCAAGCGTCGTGCATGTGAGAATTTTTTTATTTTGGGGGAATAAAATTAATGTGGTGTACAAAACCGAAACTTTATACGTACTTGTTCCGTACCAAGTTGCTTCCGTACGTCGTCGGAGTCACTTTTCCACATTAAGTACAAGACAGCCTAAAGTGATGATGTCATAAGCGAATACGGATACGTGATACGAGCGTGCATTTTCTGTTTGTTGAAACTGTCTAGTGTGTGGATATCTGAACGCTTGTGCCCTCACCTTAATATTGAAAAATGAAGGGGGAGCCTACCAGACCAACGGCGCTAAGAAAAGGAGGTCTCCGTGGATTTACCGACAATTTACGACGCTAGAAAAAAGTCAGGTTCATGTAACACAAATCAAAAACCTCTGAGACTTTGGAAGAAGCATAGCTTTTTCGGTATTGTGTGTATCTGTCCTTTGAAATCCTGACATTTTTCATGGTGCTTTAATCAACAAGAGTCCGTGTATAGACTAAACCAGTATTACTAAATTAAAAACAGTAATAAAACAATACAATTATGTTCACGTAGACTAAGTCATTATTACTAAATTTAAAACAAAGCAACAGTAAAACCAATACGATAAAACAGATGAAACCCAAAATGCATATTGATGTATTTTTGCGTAGGGGAGATGTTAATTATATATAACGGGTTTGCCCTTACCCAATGTATATTAATAAGCCGTATATTAATACCCAATGTATATTAATAAGTATATTAATAATGTCCGAGAGCTTGCGAAAAAACCTCATAAGCTTACTCGTGTGGGACTCGAACTCACGACACCTCCTGCTTACTAGTGCAAATGTCTTAACCACTCGACCACCGAGCTTGCCGAGGTCGGCTGGCCGGTCCGAGTCAAATGAGGCAGCGGGTACCGTTGGTTCGAGTGGGTTCGAGTCCCACCCGAGTAAGCTTATGAGGTTTTTTTCACAAGCTCTCGGACAAGCATTGAGCATACAGTGCTTATTAATATACGTTGGGTAAGGGCAAAACCTGTTAAATATAATTAACATTTCCCCAAAGCAAAAATACATCTTGAAAATAGTTCGCAGTACCCGCTGCTTCAAACGTTTTAAAAAGTGCAGAATTTGGTTTGAAGCATGTGACAACCATTCCATGGTATCTTACTCCCAATATTCTTCACATTCCATACCATATGCCGCGTTTATTAGTGTTGGCAAATATTTGACAACCATTCCATGGCATCTTAGTTACATCCAATATTTTCAACATTCGATACCATCTACACAGAGTCTGTGTGTGGGGAAACATTTGACTTTCAATTTTGCAGGTGAACACTTCAGGTGCGTGGCTTGATATGTACGTCAACTGACAGATGACTAATTGATGTAGGCCAAGTTTATTTTAGTTGGTCCAGCTCTGCCTCGATGGATGGTACACTGGTTCTCTCAGGTGGGCCAAAATGTTACATATGTTGGTGAGAAATTTCGGTACATTCAACCAATAATTCTGCACTGAGAGGGCTCTGCTATGGCTTGCAAAATAGACACTGATTCCAAAATAGATCTCCATGGTCAATACAGAAATAAAGATATCACTTTTCATAATAATACATAACCTAGCTACCGGTATTGCACGAACTTTGCACGCCTGGAAATACAGCTATCTCTATTTCGGAATCAAATGTCATCTTTGCACGCCATACTTTGTTCATAAATATGACCAATTGGGGAGTTCAAATTCAATATTCAAGTTTCGCGGCTGCATAGTACTGTTGTAAGTTTTAGTAATGGGCTGCATGTTTTTTCCTATTTTTAAAGTTCCTAGAAAAGTTGGCACCTAACCCAACACCACCACCTATGAATATGGCACCCAAATGTATCACGCATTGGTAGTTGATACCACTGAGCTTCTATTATAAGGAGTCAAAAAGGTTTGAACCGAAGTTTTTCCTCCCAGGAATAAAACGATTTTAAAGGTCCCACTGCTTGCTTACTGAAATCCAGTCTGAAAACAAGTATACCTCGATTAAACGTTTGCAGGCTTTGCAGGTTTTCTTGGGTCCAAAGGGAGACTTAATACGGGGTTTCTACATCCAAGAGATTTCTTTTTCATAATGAACAAAGACAAATTTTCATACGTCGTATTATAACTTAGTGACGTGGTCAACTGGAGGTAGGCGGTGGAGGGCAACTTTCCAACTTAATTTATGTTGCTAACTTTTTAAATACAATGAAAACGCTACTACTGCGGGGGTTGGGTTTTTTTGGGGGGGGTTGAGGGTTCTAATACGAATGAAAAAACTTTGTTTTCGTCATTTGAGACAGAAACCCACTCCCTCATGCATCCGACCCCAAACTTTGATACGCTAATGAGCGAAGCAGCCCCTAAATCTTAACTTCCTTGGTGGAGTAAGCTCGCGGTTATTTCAAATATTTTTCAGCTCGGTGAAAATGACGCAATCGATATTGAGTGCTCGCTGTTGTTAGGATTCAAACATTAGTGTTCCTTGGAGAGGCTTCGTCTAATTGTTAGATTTTAAATGGCTGCCCGATTCCCTCGTTGCATTTTAGCTGAAGAATGCAAACACCGAAGGCTGTTAAGATACTCCCACAAAGAATTGCAAATCCCCAAAGTGCCCTCCCAAACGGTCCAACTGTTTGGGAATGCAAAAATATTATCGTTCACAAAATACAAATGCATCAGACTTTGGGTAAACTACGTTTCGGGCACGGGAAAAGCGTGTTTAAATAACAGAAAGAAAAACCTCCCTCGGTGTTTATCAAACTCCAGTTGACGACCGCCCACTGAATTACTGCGGCTTAAAAACACGAACAAAACAGCCACCCGGAAGGCCTAATCGGCCTACTTCGGTGTGTTACCCATTTGCTTTGCTCAGTTGAGTCACAATACTCGACCTAATGTATTTCAAGCAGGTTGAAAAGGACATGGGTCCTTTCAACACTGAAGAGTGAGGGATTAGCTCAGACGACCGAATCTCGTTGCCGACACCCGGCGGGTTTAACTGATGTCAGCGAGCCGTCATGAGCCCTTGTCACGAAAACAGGTGCATCTCAATCAGTTGCACAAAGAACTGATTTAACTTGCTTCAATCTTGCCTAAACAAGCGGGTAACAAATAGGGTCACAGTAACAAAATAAAGCTTATTTGAATTTTGTCTCTCTCGTGTGACTCGTGTTTATGACGCCCCTCCTGAGCGCTAGCGTCCATAATCTTTCTTCCTTTTAGATGGATACTGTTCTCAGAACCTCCTGGGTCAATGATCAGATATTACTTCTCCCTGTTCTTTGATCAAGCCGATTAGATTTACCGTCCACTAATGTCAATTTGCGAGTGTGTCTATTTCATTCTCCGTAATCTAATTGCGAAGATTATTTTCTGCGTATGCCAAACAAAAACTGAAGGATAAGTTCCGATCATTTTCTTGGTCACAAAGTTATCTGACCCTGTGCCTCTCTCCTGGACTTACACTCCAATTTCAAAAGAGAAAATCCATCATTTCCAACTCCGCTTCGACGTTTGACGTTCCACACGAGATACCAGTGAGTGTGTAAACTAATGCACTTAAAAAAGACTCACTCGAACAACCAACACATGGACTACAATTCTATCTAATTTTAGCGTTCCCCCCGTTAATTCCACGGTTCTCAGTTTCAACCGACCGTATTGCACCCGAGCTCACTGAAAACAATCTCATGAATTCATTGGAACCGCTTTTCACCCAAGCTCTTCAAAAAAATTCTACGAATTTAACGAACACAAAGACCTCCGAAGGCAATACAGAACTTTCTGGCAACTGTCTCAAATGTGGAAACTCGTTTGGGCGATCTTTAAACTACACAAACTTTGCTTTTCCCCCTTATCTATTATATCGCTGGTGTTGTGACAGACCATGGAAAGACGAGACAGAAGATAAGACACCTTCCAGAGCGATGTTTAGCCAACAGGCTTTGGATCACTGATAGCATGCCTCATTAGAGAAGGCCCGTCGATATTAACAGCTGTAAAGGAACAGTCAGAGGGCAATTTGCAATCGAACTGAGTCCGTAGTTATTGATTCTACCGTCACTGTGTCCAGAGGCGTAAATCTGTGCCGGAAACTGGGGGGGGGGGGAAAGGGTGGGAAGATGACTTGCCCAGCGATCAAAATTTGAAAAGCAGGGGGGGGTTGACACCATATGACTATTATGGTCGATGTTCTGATATTGCTGAACATCTGCTTTGTGCATTCACAATGACATATTTGTGGCTTTTGATATATTTTTTTCCTTTTTTGAGTGATATTGAATGCATTTTTTTAGTCGTCGAAAGTCTGAAAAATTGTCACAATCCGATTTGATATTTTGCTCACCACAAAACGCGCGCGCGTGTGTGTGTGTGTGGGGGGGGGTGATTCAATAGCACCTCCCCCACCTCAAAACGTGGGGGATATACCCCCTGGATTTACGCCACTGCCCATGACTGTATCGATTCTTATCCGTAACGCTCCATAAGGAAGTATCTAGGTACAACAATCAGTTAATACATGAGGACTAATGCGTTTAATTTGGACATTTTGTGAACCGGTTGTCAATATTGGATTTCCAGCGTGATTACTGCGAGAAAAGTTTAACGCGGTAATAAGAAACCACGTTTCTATGAACACAAATCATTCACGACCTGTAGGCCCTATGTGTTTGCTGAATGTCTGTGGGGCACAGGGTTAAGGCTGAACTGTGAGGCACAAGCTGTTGTTTTCAGGGGAAAAACGTGCCCGTCAGTGTGCATGACAATTTGAAGAGAGTCAAGCTTTTTTTTTTTTTTTTTTTTACATAGGTTTTTAAAGTTATTTTTAAACGTTTCTCATTCCAATTCACCTCATGACATTTCCAACTTAATCCAAGAAAAAAGCCAGCCCTTGCCATAAACAATTTTGTCTTTGACCATTAAATTTCAAAAGTTGGTCAACACATTTCAAGATAACGTCAAGAACATTCGTTATTTCAGTTCAAGTTCGTCCAAAGGAAAGCAGAGTTGCGGCACTCAGAAATCGATCGTGCCGATTTTTAGGCAAATTAGTCCTCATTTGTTCACACGCTAAAAAGGGGTTTAGTTGCATTGCAAAGAGAACATGGCCTACACATAAATTTCTTAATATCAAGGAAAAGAACAAATTTCACCGATCACAGAAGAACAGTTAAAACAAATGGATACAAAATCCTCAATAGCAAGACGTATGCATTCTACTGACGGGGGGGGGTTGACGAAATGATACGAACATATCAAATTTTTGGACAAATTTGTTTTCTGAATAACGCAGCTCGGCGTATAAGCGAAATGAAATAGAATACTCGGTCAAAATGGTACTCGTGCTTAGAATTTGGTTGACCGAAACTTGAAATCGTCTGACAGTTGACGAAATTAAGCACTGCAAGTGATTTCGCTGATTTCACTGGACAAAATCGAAAATACACATTTTTGTGAATTGGAATGAAAATCGTGTTAAAATAGCTGGGAAAACCTAGATTTATATTGTTTTATATATTACATTTCAGAATTTTCTAACAAAGTGAGACCTGGTTTGAGCATACTACGACAATGCTTGTTTACCAATAGTTACTTAACTGCTGATTATTTTATAATTTTATGATTGGCATTTCACTTTTTACAAAAATTTCACTTTTTACAAAAGTGAAAAACATCAACTTAAGGTTTAGGTGATAAAAACCAAAGCTGGTCCTGGAAAACAGTACCTCATAGGCCCAACATAACCAAAAAACATTCAGACACTTAAAATTAAGTAGGCCCAGATAAAATTGAAATTTCTTGGGATCAAACTTTTTGCAAATTCCTACTAGGGATGTGATATTATGCTACTTTAGCATGCTACCTACCTACAACGCATGTAAACTGCGAAAACAAGACTTCTTCACGAAATTGTCCTGTTCCCAGAGTTTATTCCACTTTTTAAAACAATTCTGGCTGACGTAGATTAGATTCTGTGCCCTATATTGACAAAAGTATTTGAACAATTTAACAGGCATTTGACATTTCTGGAACAGCTGCAATCACTCGTCAATGTCAGAGTCAGAGTCAATAGTATCGCAGTTTGAAGCAGATGCAACAAAGTAACAGCGTCGAAATAAAAGCAATTTTCTCAGCCAAGATTGCATATTCCCGATCTGCGTGACAAAGGAGCATGGTGGATTGCATAGGCAATCACGTGTCAGATTTATGGTCTCGTAAAAAAGTCTCACAAATATGCTAATGGCAATCCTGCCAACGGCAGAGAAAAATACGGCGCCTATTATCTCGCGTTTTAACTGCGTCATTAATCACTGATAATCTAGAGTCTGGTAGGAATGCCGAAATATTTTAAGGGGGGGCATTGCTTAGTCAAAGACAGCTGTCTTATATGTAGTTGCTGATTGATCAATATTTAAAGTTCGTACATGTGGGTCTACAGTCAAAAATGAGGTTACGTGAGAAATAATCTTGGGTTCTATAGGCCTCAGGGATGTTATAAATTGTTGTACGACTATATAGGTAAATTAGAGTCATAGCTTACTGTTACAATTGTGGTGCGAAAGCTCTTCAGCTGGGTCAGTCAACGTAAACATTTCGTCTTGAGAGAATCAATCCTCAATAAAAAAGCACTTTACAAGGTCATCAAAAAATTTCTTATGTTAAAGGTCACTGCTGCCTCATTAAAACACAGAAGGGAACCAAAAAGAAACACAATTTGTCAAGACTCCTTAAAACTTCAATAATGGTGTTTTTAATCATTTGGCTCATCTACCATTTTAGGCAAATCATGTATTATTTCAAAAAACGTTTTTTTTCCTTTTGAGGGGCACACCTTGGATGCTTTTGATGTTCAGCTTATTATTTGAATTAATGTAGGGACATGCAAAATTCACATTGTTCATTAAGCTAGAGCAGTATATATCACCATCAGATGTGTGCAAGTTTAATCTTTTCACATCATGAACTTTTATGCTCTGTACTGTGAAAGTCATCTGCGTGTCACAAGCGATCCTGTTATTGATCTCACTTCCAATAAACAGGCCTATAAAGGACTAGATTTTTCTTTTGTCTCAGCTGGTTGCTGATACAGATTTCCTGAAGGGGGCCTGTATCATAACTTATTGTTGGGCAGTGCACTTTCAATCACACCTGAGTCTCCGTATCTGAGCGCGACCAGACGTTTTCTGTCTTGTAATGTTTCGCAGCAATTGTGAATTTTCGATTACTTTACTTTTTTGAAGATTTTGAGCAATAGAAAAGTGTATTTTCAGAATAACACGGTAACAGAGGAGTATTTTCTCAACACGATAGTAACGTGAACGTTCAAACAAATAGGTAAGGTAGTGTGTCTTGTTTCAACCAACCTTGATTATATTCGGGTGTTGAAGTTGTTGTAGCAGTGCAATTTCCTTAAGAACCTTGAAGTTTGCTAGAGTGAAGCACTCCTCCTTACTCATCCCGTACCCGACGCACTGTGTCATGTCTGGTCCATTCGAAAGAGGTGTCTTCAAGGCCACAGGTTTTCCTCCTAAGAAAGCTTTCTGCACCCTCTTCGTGTACCCAAAGCCCACTAACTCCCTGTCAGACAGAGGTATGCTTGCTATTTCCTTACATCCATAGACCAGTTCGGGGGTAAGGGTAGTGTCTTTTGGAGGCTGTTCGGTCTCGCGTGCCGTGTGGATTTGAGCCTCTTTGTCTGTCTCACCCCTTTGGAGACTCGATGTCGTTTTTTCCTTCGTTGCAGGTGAAACTGGGTCGAGCATGTTGTGCACATCCATCAAATGTCGCTTCGAGTTCAGCTCTGCCAAATGACGAGGGACTGGCACCGCAGGAGCGTCTGTAAAAGGGCCGTCTAACTGAGCCTGCAGGCGGGCAAGCTGTTCATCGCTCTCTGCGACCCTTCTCCTCCGGTAGCCGATTTCCTGTCGCAATTCGGACACGAGGTTGGCGAGATGCGTGAGGCGTTTCTCCACGGGGCTCAGCAGCCGTACGCTCGGATTACCGGCGGTGTCGTCGCTTGTGACATCGGGGCGTGATCGGCCCTCGTTCAACAACAGGAAGGCCGCCCCGATAATCCACAGGGCAAATGCCGCGGTGGCGGTACCCAGGATTGCTCGTTTAACACAGACTGGTCTCGTCATCTAGCCAATTACATTGGACATCGGCCGACAAGGTCGCGGAGAAATCAACGTAATTTAACCATAAAGTTTTATTTTATTTAACAAAGGGGCATTTTACATATTAATATTCAGAGGTTCTGAGTTCCAGAATGCTTCATGGATCTTCAGTCGAGTAGCTGTCACTAGACTCTTCTGGTCTGAACAGTTGCTTGCGTGTCCAGCCTGAATGGCATGTTATGTTCCAAATGAATTCATCACCATTGGGTTTGGCTTCCTCAGTTTACCATTCTATCGGCATTCCATTCCACAAATCAGTATTTCCTGGACCGCGTGGCAAACTCGATAGTTCCCGCAGCCAATTTATCGGCAGTCCCACGGCGACGAGTCCTTTTACATAAAACAAATGTACGTCATCTTGGACTCTTAATGCTTACATATTGACATCAAACTATTGGGACTTGAACTTACGAAGCAGCCTACTGACTTCAGAGAACTTGCTGTGTTCAGTAATCAGTACTCGAACACGCACTAGTTGGAGCGGCTCCATGGTAATTGTATCGTCTTTGCTGTATAAACGAATCAATGGTAGTTTCGATCCACTCTGTCATTCCCGGCCACACGTGATTCATCAGGCCCAGATTTGATTGGTCACCGATTTGGGCTTTGCTAATTGATGCCTATTGTCCGGCCTGGACGGGCCGAGCAAACAACACTGGCGCTCACCGCCACTCTTAAGCGTCCATTAGGGATTTACCGATTCAGGTTGATTGACAGAGCTTAATTGACAAGGCATAAAGTACTCCACTCCAGCCCAGATGCATACAGAAGTAGCAAGGGATTGCTTGCTACTGTTCACTCGTTAGAAAGTGCAGGACTGACGGTGGAGTGCTGAAAAAAATCCGGGCTGCTGATGATGTGCACGGCGTCCTGTGTACTTTTCCACCCAGCTTCAGTTAGCAGCTGCCCGTGCTGAATGTTTTCACTCACTGCCTGCAGCTACGAAATGAAACTGGACACTTCTAAGATCTCACTCATGTAGGTTAGTGGGCTCTCGAATTTTAGTTCAAATATTGTGTAGCTGGAGGAAGCTCAAAGCTAGTTAGTACTTGGTACAACCATGGTACAACCGCGTCCGCAGAATCTATACAGGTCATTATTCAAACAAGGAGAAAATCTTAAGTGCATACACCACACAGGGGATCCCGCTCCCGAGGATTCGCGGCTGAAGGAAGCACACAATATGAGAGGTCAGCGATGTTTCATTTTTTACAGGCGCGGATTATGAATGCAATATCCTTTGGCTGTTTCTTTCTGTTCCTTTGCGAACCAGTGTTTCTTGTCTTGGGGTGAACGCTGGGTAATGTCAATCTCAATTGAAGATGGCACTCATCAAATCTATGCGCAGGTAATTCCACCGCCGAATAGGCAATTACCACAAATGGTTTTAGTGTATAGGGTTATCCCCATAATGGACTCTAGTTGCATCATGTCTGAAAGGCAAAACCGCATTCAAATTGCGAGGTTTTTTTCTTGTGTGCATGCAGATATAGCGGATGCATGTCACGTCTCTGTTAAGTGACGTCCAAATTCACCAATTTTGACGATCGACTAAGCCCCACAGCGTGACCCAAAACTGTCGGTGTCAACGGCCATTATAACCTTCCATGTAATCCAGTATCTTGCCGTGTCGCTCTGTGAAAATGGAAACAAAGCGGAGGTCACAGAATTGGTTGGGAGAGTAGAAAATGAAAGAAAACTTTGACAATTATAAAGCCAAATTGCCTACAACCGGAAATGTAACCCCGTCGATTTGTTTTTCTGAATTTCATTCGTGGGAAAATCAGGAGAAAGGGATAGATGACAAGAATTTAAAATGACTGTATAAAAGCAGGGAAAACTTTGGAGTCCAAAGTAGCCTACAAGCCTTTTCATCCTGGCCCGAAAGCGAACACCGACTCAAATTTGTGACGTTTGATCTAATATTTACGCTGCAAATCCTCAACTGCATAATACTTTTCAGCGCAGCGAATCTCGCTGCAAATGTGTTGTGACGTCACATTTTCAAAGTACATGTATATAAACCTGACACAGGCCTTGGTGAAATTTCTGACGGGACATACCCGGAGGCAAATATTTTTGAAGGGGCACTGAAAGAAACTGAACACTGGCTTCTACATAACTTGAATGTAATTCGCAATTTCAAACAGTGGTGGCCCTCGGGGGGAAAAATATTTCCGCTGGACGGGGGAACGTGAGTTCCCCCCCTCCCTGTACATGTATATAGTTACGCCACTGGTCAATGTTTTTCAGAGTCTTTTTTGTGACATGTTCAGTCTAGTGACAATGAGAATTGCTGTGTTGAACTGAAAGGTACCCCGAATTCCTTTTTACGGTTTAGAAGAAAATGTATAGTGGAGAGGGCTTTGCACCCTTTTGATCCATTTGGGCACTTAAAGCCGCCAATTGAACAACCACTTCAAAGACAGCAGATCAAAATTGCCTCGGACAACTTGATTTTTTCCCACCACTTTGCAATACACTGGATAAAATTCACCGGAGACTGACCGTGCCAGAGTGCTGACACCGCAGGCATCTCGACGGCAACCTGATCAGAGGAAATTGAAAAATATGACCCTTCACCTCCAATTTATATTGTTACATTTCTGCTCAGCAGTTGCCGAACGTCATCTTGTAAGGTTTCATAGACTTCCAAAAGACCAAAATCTGTGCTGTAAAAACTGAATGTAAATGTAATGTCCAAGAAATAAACAATTAAATGAAAAGATGCTGCTCAAAGACGGGAGTAACCTAAAGGATACATTTAAATTGTTGTAAAAGCTATGGGAACTGATTTGTTAGAGGGTGTTTTATCGTGGAAGGTTCTCTCCCAAAAAAAGGAGCTTGGGCCTACCATTAATAGAGGCCCCATAAAAATTTGTTTCACTTACATAATATCTAATTAATTTGTTTGTGGTCTCCCGTCTCTCTGATCACAAACGTCATAAGGGAAGAGGCCCTTGACATAGTGTAGTGCTGTTACATGCAGCGTACCAGTGTCTAGAGGAAGACCGACGTAAATCTGAAGTACGCGCTCAGATACTTTCTTACGACGCGTCGTAAGCTGTCGCACTACCATAATATTTTTTAAACTTGGTATGCATGAGTTTCAATCCTTACAAGGTTTTTGATACGATCACACCTTCGTGCGTGTTTGCTCTTGCGATCACTGTAAGTGGGAAAGTTGATATTTTTGGCCTAGGGCCTAAGTTTTGGAAATTGTCATGAGAAGGTTATTCGTGTTTTATCGAACCGCTGGCGAAAAGGATGTCAAGACATCAATCAGTGAGAATGAATGACGGTTCGATAAGCCTAATAACAAACAAATTTGTACTTTTTGTGCTGAAGAAAAAGATGCAAGCTGTGCACTTTTGTTTAGACTGGTTCGTAAATCTATCATTTGCAGTTTGCAAGTAGTAACAGCGCAAACACAATCACTCAATATATACAAACGGGAAAGATTGAACTTGACACTTTTGACCAATAAGGTCCCTAACAGTTGCAGGCAGAGTAAAATGCTTTCTGTTGCCATTTTAAACAGAATGGGATTTATTTTATCCACGCAATTTTGAAGTCTCTATGTCACACATTGTACAGACGAATTTGTAAATGGAGATTAACGGGATAGACCCACTAGACACTCACAGGCTTGTTTTTGTGTCTGGGGTTCGTGGCCCTGCAAGAGACATCGTCAGTCGTCAATACTGACGTTAATATCCACGACTAAAATTCACGACTTACCTCAAGTCGCCAAAATTGGCATCAATATTAGGCCTAACGATTGGTGATGTTCCTTCAAAGCCACTGTATTGGGGACTGTTAGCATCAGCACTACTTAATATGTGTTTTCCGACTCAAGTTGTGCAGTAATATATTTTCTTAAACCAAGCGACTTGGCTGATTTCACTTGTATCTTATGCACATGCCCTAGCCCAACTGATGAACATGCTGAATTGAAGTTATTCTTGGAAGCAAATTGCGCAAAAGCGCAGACTGTGGCAAAAGTGGGTTTGCATCACAATGTACAAACACGGCCTTTATGTTTCACTTCAGATGTGAAATTACTAAACTCCACCCCTCCCCTTTGATCGTGCATGTGCTACTGGTACCTCACACATCCAATCTTTCAACACCGGTGGAATAATAACCTTCAGTACCTGTGATAGGTGCAGTAATTATTGCAACTCGCGAATTAAGTTAAGGAGAAACCACTGCGTCTGAACCCATTCGAATCCAAGAGTCTCCACTTTTTTCGTCGTTTCTCTAATTTAAACCCCTCTTGTGTCGTCATCGCACTCAGAGAAGTGTCTATTCTTCTTAAGAAAGTAGAGTAAACTGCACATTCTACAAAAAACACGGACCAAAACTGACTTTATAGCCACAGGAATCGCAGTTGTGGCACTGAATTATCACGTCAAGCGCAATGATAAACGCTCTTAAGAGTTAAGTACACTGTTTTAGACCTTCTACAAGTTGTTGCTGTGTGGATTTTTCAATTGCCATGCTAATATATTCTGTTTCATGTTCGGTGGCGATTACAATTTTTCAATTAAGTGAAATAGTGTTTTCATTTCAGTCATTTTTTTAATGTGTCTTTTTCATTTTATTACATACCCCTAAGTTCCATTTTATTTTCATTTCCTCGGTGTTTGACTTTTTTACTTAGGCCCTATTCGTATTTATATGTTGATTATAAGGTATAATGTTTATTATTTGTCTTCATGTTTTTATTTTTGAAATTCAAACTTTGCCGATTTACATCAGTTTAACCTCAGTTATAAATCGTCCTCTGTAATCAACATTTTTTAAATAACTGTAACGATGACAATTCATGTGGAACTTTAGAGAAGTGATAAATCGCTTAGAAACCTATCGATACTTCTCAAATGTTAAATATACCAAATGCATAAATTTTACAAACGAAATAATTTACTGTGCAGTGAATGAAAAAAAAATACATGTAGTTGTGCACCCAACCGAAGAGTGCACAATATTAACAGTTTGAGCCAGAAATAAAGCTTTCATGCAACGTACATAAGGAGCCAACGCTGAACACTGGGTCAAATTAAAAAACTTTTTGTCTTCTTGTAGAATGGACAGTAGTGGAAGAAGAGACGTGACTTAAAGATGGATAGACACCACTTGGGATTGGTTAACCTCAGTCATTGATATCATGTGAAATAGTCATATTTGTAACCCGGAAACGCAATAACCTAAATAGGTTTTTAGACTCTTTGGTGTGGCTAGAGGCTCTGCAGGTAAAAATAAAAACAAACGGTGCACGGTGCAGCTGCAGTGAATGTTGAGTGAAAGCTGAATGTTTCTTCCAAAAGGCTTGTAACAGTTTGAGTCGATCCCATGTAGACTGAATATTCGAATTCAAGGGGTGGACTCCTTGATTTGACCAAAGCTAGCACGTGTGAAAAGAAGAGAACGTGTAGATGATTCCATATGTACATTTATATTTTTGTACATTTCTGTATGTAGCCAAAGGAGCAAGCAAACTTAAGCAGAGGCGCAGTTTGCCGTGACGAATCGAAAAAGAAAGAGACACTCGGAATACGGTGCACTTGCTCGAGGTCGGAAAAGATTTCCTTCCTGAATGGCTTTTAGCTGGACTTGAAAAACTCTGAAGAGATTTGTGCCTGAGTTACAGAAATTAAGAAGTTGGGTTTATTTGTTCCTCTGTGTGTGCGGTACAGTCCCCTTGACGCATCCTACGGACTGAAAGTCTCACGGTAAAAAGTTTAAGAATCCCTACATGTAGTTTAGCGTTACAACGAGAGAAAGGGGCAAATAGGTCAAGACGTGTGTGATCTGTAAGTAATTATCCATTCGAAATGTATCCGTGTAATTTCATATTGTCGGCCATACAGGGCTAGGGGTGTTGAGCCAAGCGAGCCCGTTTGATGATCATATGCTGCATTGAACTTCGCCTCGATCCAATAACAAAGTACGGTATGTCATACCAACTAGCCTCCACTGCATTGGCATCGAGTACAGCTACACCGTGTCCTGGGGCAAATTGGCCCAGAAATAACAAAATTATAGTCTAGGGTGAGATCGCTTACTGGTTTTCCAGAGGTTATCAAACGGAGCCGGCCCATTAAGGGAGAGAATGGATGCCCAGAAAAACTGTTGATTTGCCCGTATTGATTAGGTTTGAGAATGCCAGGTCAGATGCCATTACCCTGGAGGCACAAATAGCGTACTGCCTGACATGGTTGTAGAAAATGCATGAATAAAAACTGCAAGACCCCTAGTAAGCATTATTGAAATTATTGAAAATGTTAGTTTTTCAGGTTCAGTCAATAACGAAAGTAACGGATGCCTCAGCACTTAGTCTATGCTGATCTGAATGCCTCGCCTATTTCACAGTCTCTCCTGCGTTCCCATGCGACGCTTTTAGAAATATTCCTTAGGGCGACAAAGTCTTCGAAGGTTTTAAATTTCATAAATTGTTTCCAAAATTCCAGTATTCCTTTCCTTTGAAACACGTTTGTTGTAGTAACACTCTCTGGAATAAGAAATTTACTTTGGGTCCTTGTTAATTTGGTTTGAAATCGTGTGTTGACGACAGTAGATGAAAACATAGTTTCTTATGGTGGTGTATGGTGGCTGAAAATTTTATTTGGTGAAGGGGATCTAGCCGAGTTTGGCGTGGGGAAATTATCACGAGAAACAGTTGCAGTTGCGTGGTCGTGTGTTTCAGCAATCTCTGCAGTGGAGATAATGGAACTTTCTTGAAAACACTTCTCATGTCCGAATTCTTCCATGTCTAAACCCGCAGGTGCAAACTCAACTTGATTGAGTGGTGTGAGAACAGGAAAGACAAATAAACGAGAGGTTAGGGTATCATATTTGTGGTATTATTTTGCCACGGCGGCGAGCGACAATAGGGCAAGGGCACGCAACCAGCCATGCTGCGCTGGGGAGCTCAAGCGCACGTGTACCTTACAGGCCCTTAGGGAGAATGTGCTGTGGGAAACCGCTTGCTTCGGTTGTTAACGCCTCAGACAATGTTTAAAACCACAGTCACATCTGTCTTTGTGAGACAGAAATATCGAGTAGATAAACTCAGACAGAACTAGCAGCCCGCTTCTGTATAAACTATATAGTCTTTACTTATTTCCGTTACTATCCTATATTTAGTCAGTGACCAAAATAAACACGGGATTCACAGGATCAGAAGCTTACAATTTCCCACCATGCTTTATTATAAAGACGTCTTATTACCAGAGAAAGATAACTCTCACCGCACACCGAAATTAACTGGAATCTAACTGGGTGATTACGTTTCAGTTTGATTCGCTTGAAAAACTCTTAAACGATTTTATATGGAAAAAAGAAATTTTTCTGCCTATCAAAATGTAATGCACAGGAGCAGCCTACGTACGGTATTGATTTTACTAAACCTGCACGTAAAGAGATAACCAGCTCAATTTTATAAAACGGAGAAATTAAATTAGCTGTATATCAAAATAGTTCAACACGCGCAACAAAAATTTTTTATCTGTTATTTCGTTTTCAACAGTTTTTGTCGCATAGAACGACCCAGTGACCCATCCTTTCATACTCTATAGGAATATGTCCTTGTCTTACCGAGATGTTTTGGTGTGTTACCTATTCTACTCAACTGAACCAGCGGGTATACAACGCGATCAGCAGACCGATTCTCGTCAGGCAGAGATATTTTGCTCATCAAAATGTTTGCAAAGGCGCATATTCCCAAACTGTCGAGCTTCTAGACAAAACACATTCAGTGACCATCATTAAATACAAATTTAACTCTTCACCTAGAATTTAATTGGAGCTATAGAATTGTGAGGGCGGAAAGGAACATTGATTTCGATTTTTCTCCTTTTTTGGCATTACACTGAAACGTTTCTGTAGTCTTAATATTTCATAACGCTAATCATTTCTTATAAATTTGCCTTGATCTGAATTTAAACTACCGGTAATGGAAAGGAAAAACAAATATGATTGGGTGAGAACATTATATTGATTTTATTCGAACATTATCATTTTATATAAAGGTTCATTCTCCTTTACTTTTTTCATCCTTCTTTCAGTAGTCCACATTATTCATTCGCCTTCTACGTCACTATCGATGAACGGACGAGAACCGGTCGATTCTCTGGATTCACCGCAGACTATGAACACAAACAAGACGGAGACATCTGCCACACGTGTAATGCTAAATTGTTGTGTGAGGACAGACGTATATGACAGAATTATATACAATCTGGACGGGCCTGACCTCGTTTCATTTTAGTGAAAATTAAATATCTTTAGTCCCGTTTGTTATCTGTTCGGCCTGAGGGACAACTGCAGAAGTACAACACGGCAGGTTCACCATTTTCAATTTATTACATGAAGACGCTCTCCACATGCATTTTTTATTCCAAATTTGACCCCATTATCAAATACACTCATCGGTCCCCATTTGCCATGTTCGTGAGTTTATGTTTATTTTTTCATGCCGTTCCATGAGCATGGAATCGAGTTGCTGAAGGGAGATGTGTATTTGGGGGCTACACGGAGCAGAATGCATAAGGGGGAGAGTCAAAGCCACTGCATCCACACGAAAAGTGATAATTTTCGAAAAATCAATGCACTTTTTCACTTTTCATACCTGCCAGAAAATAGTCAGACCACACCAAGCCCATTGTCTTCAGTGTAATTTTACAAAGTTCACTGAGGATTGGCTGGTAACCTATAAGTTGAAAGTTCAGCTCGGTTCTTCTGTTAAATTTATTGTTGTCCTCGGTCATTTTCACAAGCATGGGTTCAAGAGGTGATTTATTAGTGTTTTTTTCCACCAGGGCGCTGTCATGGGTCACTGTAATCATCGTGGCAAACGGCTCGACCACACAGGCTTTCCGAGCTGATCGGGGTGTGTTTATGCTCCACACCAACCACGACGTTGTTCCCAGTTGTGTGGCGGGGGGGCGTAAGGGGGCGTGGGGGCGCACGCCCCCTCATAAAAAATCATCGCCCTCAAGTCGCTTCCCCCCTTTGCATTTCAGAAACCGTACACATGCATTTCACTATGTGATCACGATTATGTACATGTATATGTCCAAGATCCAGTCACCCCCCCCAATTTAGCGTGAAGCCCCCTATCGGCCTCCTGTGCTCAGAATCCTGGCTACGCCGCAGCTTGATCCATCCCCCACCACCCTCCCCGGGTGACCCAAGTTCGGCACCTCCACAGCAGATCATTCAATATAGACTGACATTAACTTCACGTGAAATGCATCTGGATTGATGGCATTTTATTGTCAGTCGTTATTCAAGACGCTTCAAAGTCCTTAGATATGATAATATACGTCTAATAATAAGTGTAATGCACATATCCGACAGTAATGCTGCCTAAGTTGCTATTACAATCAATATTATTCTCGCTAATCCGGCTACGGGACCAATAATTATTTATCCAGCGCAGGTCCAGCCCTTAACGCTCACACTCCAGTTTGGAGAAAGATCAAGCTGAAAAAATTTACCGATGACCCTATCACATTAGCTGGAATTAGATCCATGGTTGGGAGTCACAAGCCCTTGCAACTAGATGAAACTTCTTATTGTTAGCACGGACGATGCGCAGGAAACAGGTACTCATTTTCACCATGCACCGTTGTTAAAAACTATAGATTCTTTTTCTGCTCGATTGCTGCGTGTGCGTCTGGGGCAAACTCGATTCACGATTCACCTGAAGCATTGTCACCGTTATTATTAACAATCGTTTAGAAAATAAAAGTAGAGAGCATATTTCTCATTTATTCTCTTCCCCATTCTGGTACTGTTTAATTGTTTTGGCAAAAATTGTCCTACTCCCCTCCGGCAGAGCTTGCTGATCAAAAGAGCCGATTCCAGTTTTACAATCTCTTGAGAGAGTGTCTGTTTTCGTTGGCAACCCTGATTAGCCTATTAAGTTGGTCCATCTGTCGAAATGGTAATCCACCTACACAAAAATGTACAATATCCTCTCGGACTGGGAGATCAAGTAGAGGAAAAAAATTGTGCTGTTGAAACAGTTTTGGAAATAGAAACCAAATTGCAATGGCCACAGCAAGTACATGTTGTGGGGTTGAGAGGTGGATAACCTTTTGGGAGAGGGGTCAAGTAGGTAATAGAACCACCTATCTTATTGCACGGATAATGTAATATGATGTATAAGTCATTTCAGCAACTCTCCCATCAGAATCGTGTGACAAGCCATTGTCGTTAGTATGACAAGTACGGTTTTACATCTTGCTGGCACACAGCTGACAATAACTCGAGACAGTCTAGATGACGCGTTATAATATACCATTCTCATTTTTGACCGAGAGATTGATATTAAAGTGTGCGCTTTCAGAGAGCAATTTTGGGTGTGAAAATATAGGTATTCAAAATAATGAATAGACTATGCTGGTAGATTCAGCTTGGCACCTTCGCTCATCCTTTGCTGTTAAAGTTATAAAATAGTGACCCAACAAAAGCGGAGAGATACAGGCATGGGGTGACGTGCCGTTTCATATCTGCGGCTCTCTTCATGCAGCTGCTGGTACAGCTGCGGTAGGCAAAGACGATACTTGCTTTCAGTATGCAAGGACACCAAATGCCAATCTTTGCTCGCACCAAACAGACACAATGTGGCCTTCCCGTTTTATTGATGTTGTGCGTCAATTTGATCGACAGAAGCAGTCATCCTGGCCACCCCGCAAACCCCGCCTGATCAATTAACGTAATTTGTAAAGGGCCTCGCTTTATAACGACAGGTGGAACGAAAGCAAATAACAAATGGCCGTAAGGCAGAAAGACAGCAAAATAGGCGTACAGTAATGTTGGGATATACCAGCTGTTTTGTTTTTCTTCGAGCAACTAAATTGAGGAGTTCCAGTTTATTTTACGACGCAGAGTTGGAACAGTGATTGACAAGATTAAACAGCAAAATGATTTAATTTGAATGAAAATTCCAAAGTCCTTTTATTTTATTTGGATATAACATTTGCCTTGTCACACAAAAGCATTTCGTGTGATCCATTATTAAGACCTCCCTGTCCATTAAGTTACAGCTTAGAGTAATGAAAAGGTTGAATGCTACCAGGAATTGGTACTGGTAGGCTGTGAATAAAAGAGTTATAAGAAGGGGTGGATCCAGGAATTTTTCCGGGGGTGGGGTCGGAGATTAATTTTTTATTTTTTTTTTTGTGGCTCAGCGGAAAAGATGATGAAACATTACATGACAGACACTGTTTACAATGCTATTGGTGCATTTTTTCACTTTTTGTTTTAATTTCCCAATTATTTTCACTTTTCTCCGTTTCTTGGAGGGATGGAGTTTGATCCCCACTACCGGATCCGCGGTTTATAAGTAGTGAATTTTTTGTTTAAGCGTTATTTTAATCTGGGGGATGCTATTCTTGGTGAAGTAATTGTACGAATGAGGTAAACTGTCACGATCTGCCCCTCATTTTAATGGAAAGTTTGAGAGCTGTACAATTCCATCTCCTCGAGGCCTCCCATTTTATCTTCTAAATACAAAATGTTCCAGAGAGGGAGTCTTGCACGTTTTATTCACAGGGGGCTCCTCTATGACCCTATACTGTCAGAACTGACACATACATCCACGCGCTGCAGTCTGGAAGCTATCAGCTTTGTGATTGATGCGAGGCCATTGCCGCTCCGTCTGTCGGCACGTCTCGGCATGATAAACACCGAGACGCCCAATCCTCTCACCCGGTGTTAGAATGAAATTGACCGCAAATGGAGGACGATGAATTGCTTTCCTTGGCCGTTATGACCATGGGGATCCCCTGCATGGGAATGATCATAGGGATCCCTTGCACGAGATACAGAGGTTAGTACATCGTGAACTCTGCGGTACAAATCCAAGGTGTCAATTGCCAAAGTGCCTCTCTTTATGCTAAAATAAGACACAAAAGGAATGATTTATGGATGCTTAAAATGAATCAGTGAATGACCAATTCTACCAATATGAACTTTATAGCAGTTCGCAGTGTCAAAGGAAGCTCACAGAGGCTACATTATATCCGAGTTAAGCCGAAGTTATTCTTCGTTCAATTTTACCTCAAAGTAACAAGCTGGAGTCTAGATTTCTTCGCAAAATGGTGCTTGACTGGCAGTTTTGAGGTAAAATTTTCCCCTTGCCAACGTGTTGACGGTACGATAGCCCATTACCGGACATCCCAAGACGCCACAGCTCTCACACTGCCCCGTAAGGAATTTGTCCCAACCACTACACGGGTAAGCCGTGAACTGGCATTCGGTTGACGGGATGCTTTCTGTGAAGTAGTACACGGCTCGAAAATGGCTGCACTTCAGCTCCGACTCGAAATCATCTAAGTAAGAAAACACATCATTCTATCGTTCTTAAACATCCTAAATTGTCAGTCAGAGCTTGACATAAACTAACTGCTAGCTGTCTCCCTCTCGCCTTTAGAAAATCATTCTTTGCATTTTGCCGTACTCTATAAATTTTCATTAAAATATACAGCATATTAATGTATATGCTTAACGATTGTGAATCCTCTTACTGTGCTGAAAATGCAGGGCTATCAAGGTCATTTTTGTCCTCAATTTCAAGACATAACAGAGGAAGATGTTTGTAAAACCCGTTAAATAAAAAAGAATTGCATACTTAAAAGAATGTTTCTTACCCAGTTTGTCACTAACTGTTTTGGGACACCCTGGTTGCTCCTTGCCACCGTTCGGATAAAAATCAACGTGTCCAAGCTGAGTGGAAGAAGAAGAAGAAAGGCCTTCAAATGGGAATGATTTTCCTGTCTGCAATCAGTCTCACTTTTAATGACACGTCATAAAGTGGTTGTCTTTTATAAAGATCAGTCGAAGCGCGCCCTCTAGGGAAAACACTGGAAAATTAGAGTTTTTTGTTCCTTCGTTCTTGCTGTCACAGTTGAAATATATTCTGCTGTGGGATTTGCGAAAAGAAAAGATCGTTTCGGGAAAGAAAAACGACATTTTGACAATGTCAAAAGACAGATGCAATTTGTCAGAATGGTTAAAGAAGTTAAAATTAAACCTTAATTGGTTAAGAAATTATTTACTGGTTGTTCGAGGCCCATGCCAAGCTCAAGGAGTGTCTCCCCGTCGGAGTGAATGTTATCAACAAATATGGCGTCTGTTGGGTCCAAGCGACATTTAGGATCATTGTTCTCAAAGTTCGGCCCAGCGGGATCGAGACCTGTATAAACGACAGAAAAGTTGAAGGTATTTCTGTCAACTTTAAATTGTCAGCGTGCATTGCATGAGATGGTCGTAATAAGGAACTTTGGTAAAAACGTCAAACGGGAAAACTGAAGAAGTTTGTCAGCGGTTGTAGAAAAAGAGAAATTCAGCGTTGTACCTAAAAGCGCGTCATTGATTAATGAAGGTCTTTTCCCAGTAAGATATGAGCTCCCATAGAATGCAAGCCCATCTTTCTATTTCAATGGAAGTGCTTAAAGGCTGAGTGCAGGATTTGCAAGATCTTAAAACGGGACTGTTAAATTATTGTGAGATGTGTATGTGGCTTACACTGTGGACTTGAAATTCTGTGCGTGGCCAAACAGAGTTAAAGTTGAAGAAACGACATCTTTGCAATGATAATTGGGTCTACAGTGTTTTATTCATAAACACGGACTAATATTATTGGAAGTATAGACTGAACGGATATGGAAGGAGGACCGAGGGATATCTGAGAGATGACCGAGAGATGACTGACCATGAAACATTCTGGGTGATTATTTAGAGTGGGGTGCAGGCTTGGGGGTATAACTTCCTGAACCTTCAGACTTGTGGTTGTAAAATCATGGCCTAAGTGTCTTGGGGAGTGGAGGTGCTACTTGAAAATCTACCACAAACGGGAACTTCTTCAAGATAATTTAAAGAAACTGAGTGGAAGTTGGATCAAGGATAATTTAATGATGAATTATTCTGAGCTTGCATTATCTTTAAACATCTTAGTGTAAAGAAATTACATGTACATAATAGTGTCAGAAAATCCGTGAAATTTTACCGCCAGGAATGATGTCATTTTCGATAAAAGAAAATTTTGCATTTTTTTTCAAAGGTCGTTCAAATGTTCTTGATTTCAGGCTTGGTCTGCGTAGTGGCGCGCACCTAAGCTCTCCCGTTCTCTTCTCTTCTCTAGTGCGGTTCGGTTCGATTTGGTTTCGGTTTGGTTTGGTTTCTGAAAAAGAAGATATAAACCTACATCTTGGCTCCGATATATGCCTTGGACAGAAATGCACGCCCAATTGGGCGTTCGTGGGAAGTGCTCGTTTCGTTGGTAGCAATACCACCGCAACGCTTACATGGCATAGTTTTTCGTGAACCGGCAAAGTGCCTCCGTTGCTGGGAAATTGCGCCCTATCTTAGTCCCTCCCAGGGCGGATAGCCGTAGACTTACATATACCTCCCCGTTCCTTTGTCGGGGGGGGGGAGCTTGCAGATATGAGCTTTGGGGGGATTCCCGTCCATGATATCAGTGGTAGCAAACTGATTATCTTTACTAGAGGTATACGTTACCTGTGATTCTTGCAATGCCGGGCTGATAGGCCCCAGCGTAACCAGCAATATGCGCCCCTAGACTGTGACCAATAAGATGCACTTGGTCGAAGCTGGTCCCCGTCTCTGTGTTCAGAAACTGAATAAACCTGGCAATTACCCTGCCAACCACCCTTGTATTCTGAACTGATTGGGTGTACAGGTTCCTAGCACCCGCTGCCCAGTCTACCAGGAAGATGTTTAGGTTCCCCTGTCAATAGAGAGACGATGAGTCACATTGTTTTTAACTCACATTGTGTACGCTTGTGCAGGCTAAGTATGTGTGCTTCACGGTTAACGATGATTCAAGGAAGGATTAGTGTCTATTAGTGTCAGAAAGACAGACAGACTTAGCCGCTCTAAGTTTTTCTTACTGGCTCATGCAGCACTTTTCTGTACAATATCCATTTGAGCCAATGATAAATGGCTGCCAAAGGTATGTTAAAATTATCCAACACAAGTATGAAACATTCATATATGAATATGTATCAGGCATCCGTAAGAGTATATTATTATTTCTGCACACGCATATCATTTTCAAAATTAGCATGCAGACGAGGGCAAATGGAATGGATCTGTTGGATTCAGTGCTAACTCTTTCACTGACTCCCGCTGGAAGGCAGATCACAAACACGATCGCGATGTTTTGGCAGAACACGTGAGAAATTGGTGTTTCCGAATTGACAAGCCAGTGGTTTGGTAGACCGTCACGGTGTTCACGTACATTATTTGCGAAGTCAAATAATGAGGGGACCGTAATTCCTCCAATCCGATTTGGTTGTAAACACTTACTGCTGCCAGTAATGCATCTTTCATCTCTTCCATCCATTCAGATCTAGCCCCTTTCTCTGTGAAGCCGTGGATTACAAACACTGTGTTTCGAAGCTCACTGAACGTGGAGTACTGCAGTGATGATGGGTCTGTTCGATCCACCTATGTGAACGTCAGATATTTTATCGTGTTGACAGTATAGGCCTATTTTCTATTTGGGAAGATATAAACCAATCATCAGTAAAGTAAAAGAAGCCAAGCAAATTCGGTAACCCATCTGAGTCAACACCAGGCTATATACATGTATTTCAAAATGTTCAATAGAAACAAATAACCTCATATATACCAATATTGCCGATAACAAACATACCGTTGTTTTACTTTTGCACATAGGAAGTTGTTGTGTGACTTTGGGCAAAGTAATAATATTTCTTTTCGGTTGTAAGAACAAAGCAGTTCTAGCTAAAACCTTTCCTTCTGATGTTTGCAACATTCAAATAAGTGTTTTCAGATAAATCATATACGAGCTTTATATGTACTGGTCCTTAATAATCAATACAAATACATGAAACAATGATAGTTTAAGAAGAAAAAAAGATAAGAAAAAGAAAAGAAATAAATCAAAAGAACTGTTTTGCGTCTCTCCAACTTACGTTGCTGGTGATAATTTTTCGAACTTTTGCTTAAAAATACTTTGAAAAACAGCAACTCAAACAATCAAGTGTATGTTCAGTTTGGTCTAACCGATTCTCCTAAGAAACCTAAAAGTATGCCACAGTTGCCTGTTGAAAAACATGCCAATTGCTGTTATGTTTTGTCGTCCCAAAATCAAAAAATTCTAGGATTTTGGTTCTTTTCTGGGACAACCTGTAAAATCCTGCCTTGGAAAATTGTCAACGAATGGACAGCTTGTACAGAGCATTGGTTTGCTAGCACGCATTTATTGCTGCTGCCGGCGGAGGGCCTCTATGGAACGCCAAATGTACCAAAACATGATGTTACTCTGTGAAAGTAGTTTGATCATGTTCTCAATCCATAATGTGAAGTTGTCAATCCATTATGTGACGTTGTCAATCTATCATGTGAAGTTGTCAATCCATCATGTGACGTTCTCACTCTATTATGTGATGTTGTCAAACTATCATGTGAAGTTGTCAATCCATTATATGTCTCAATGCACCACGCGGGGTGCTGTCCCTTTAAATGTTGAATTATACGAAGTAGTGAACCATTTGCATTAGGCCTATGTGAAGTCATGAATCCATTGTGTTGTCAGCGAATTACGTGGTGTGGTCAAAGCATTATGACACCGTTCCACTTGTGGAGCTATCCCTGTGTACGGGCCGTGGTAGTTTTCTAGTTCTGTGGACTAGGCCAAAACGTGGACATGCAGCACACAAGCAGCATGGATCCTATAATAAAGATTTTGGAGTGACACATCTGTTGTCAGAAATTTTAATGGAAAACCTTAGTAAACATTTTGCACCTTGATAAGATCAATGTCAATCGATAGCTATTTTATACAAGCAAAGCTATTTTGGGAAACTGTGGTATCTAAAAAATCTGTGAATGTCCTGCATCTATAGCCGCGCTGAGGAGATTGTATCAGAGGGGTGGTACTCAATAGTTCCATTATTTCGGGGGCTGCAGACAGATTTTAAAATATTGATTTTCAATTTTACTTTCATTTTATTTCATTGTATTTATAACCAAATCCTTTTAATAAATCATACATTTTTCTCATATCAACCGTTGCGTATGTATTTACTCAAAGAGAAGTTAATGTTTTTAGCCAGTTATTTAATAGTCAACATGTGTCAGCGATGATCTCAGATTTACAAAACAATGTTTAAGGAACAACCAAACTTAAAGACAAGATACCATCAGGTTGATTAAAAAACTTCTAGTATGTACATACGTTCACGGGGAAGGGTCGTAAGTGTTCATGTCGCCTCTACGTCCCGGTGATAAATTGAATTGAGTGCTTTTCAAGACTTGTCTCAAAAGGGCGTTTTCTCTTGAAAAGAAAAATAACAAGGGAAACCTGTCTGTGCGAGCAAAGTTTAAAGAATAATCAGTTGACTTTATTTAAGAAAAGATTTCAGGATTCTTCCAAGAAGGTTGCTGTTGTAAATGAGATTTGTCATCAGCGTCAACAAGGCTACTTTTACTACTTTACTACTTTCAAAAAAAGTAAAGCATATGCAGCTTCATGAACGAGGGCTCTGCTCACTGATGTACTCTAGGTTTTTGCGACCAGCATGGGGAGAGAATTCCCTGGTGGTGATACCTATGTATGTGCATATTGAGCTTCCTGGAAAGTGTAGGCTATGTCAAGTTTTCATAGACTTCAGTGTTGTGAGTTACTAGGAAGTCGTCACGATCTCCTGCAAGGCCGCCCATTTGCCAACACCGTTGAACACATAACTTGCCCACAGGCTCATTATAGGTTGCCCAGTGTAGAGAGCTGAAGTTTCAAAACTTGTATCTGACATTCGACGTCGCGCGTGTAGCAGCCCATCTTTTACATTCCTGTGCCATGTTTGTGCGCCAAGATATTCATTTTCGCTGCCGGATTCTTTGTTTTTAGGGAGGGTCTGTTTTGACGCTGAATGTCTTACTTGTGAGTAGCACTGTCATGGTAAAGCAGAAGAAAGAACAGCGAGATCTCTTTCTTGGTTTTAGGGCACTTGCTGGGTTGACACAAGTCCTACCTTTTTGAAGAAGGAAGGTTTAATCCTATTTATTTATTTGCTTGATTGAAGTTTATGTCTAAAGAAATCCAAATCTATTGAGTTTGTCCACATCTGGTTACATCTTTCTACACCTCCCTCTTAATTAATCTGCCGAATACTGACAAAGGTGGGCTGAATCTCTTGGAAGCTACTAAAATGTTTCCGGGAATACTTTTTAAGCCACTTGAGTATTTAGTTTCTATATGCTGAACCGTTCGCAGTAACGAGATCGAGGAATGTGACGAGCCTGGAACCATACTATTATTAACAATCACTTTATTTATAATGTATTCATTTGTTTAGCTTAATGTCACGGTTTCTCTGTAGTGAGCGATGTGTGCACTAGCATGTGTTAAGGTAAACAACAATGTAATATTACTCCTGAAATTGTCATTGTTTGTTTCGCATTTAGAATGCAGATGTACAACATGCTAAATGATGAACATAACTAACACGCGCCATGCTTCTTCACAGTTCTGATTGTACGTACATGTACCTTTTTCCTTATGATCAAAGCTTGCATCATCCTTTAAGACGTTCTCATTGATAGTGATCCTATCATTAGTTCCGTTTTTGTGAGGCTGAAGTTCGTCCTGCTATTGTGTTGCATGGCCACGGTTCGGCTGTACCCAAAGCAAACTACCACGGCCCGTACACCTGCGATAGCTCCACAAGTGGAACGGTATCATAATCCTTTGACTACACCACGTAATTCGTTGACAACACATAATGGCTTGACAACTTCACATAATTCAACACGGGCTATGTAAAGGGACGCATTGAGAACGTCACGAAATGGATTGAGAACCTCACATAATGGTTTGACAACTTCACATAATGGATTGACAACTTCACATACTGGTTAGCGAACTTCACATAATGGATTGACAACGTCACAGATGGGATTAAGAACTCCACATAATAGAGTGAGAACTTCACTTAATGAATTGGCAACTTCACACAATAGAGTGAGAACTTCACGTAATGGATTGGCATCACACAATGGACTGAGAACATAATAGATTGAGGACACAATCAAACTACTTTCACAGAGTACCAATATACTTTGGTACATTTGGCGTTCCATAGGTCTCCAGCAGAGCGCCCTCATCCCTTTCTTTTGTTGTCGTTCGTGGAGCAGTGCAGTTACTTGACCCTAACGTTGTTTGCACAATTGAGAGTTGGACATCCCGCTTGTGTGTACCCCTTCTGACTTTTTCAAGTCCTGGAAGACAAGGGTTTCAAAATAGTTCTGCCTACAGTACGAATTACCTTCTGTATACAGGTATTTACTTTGGTGGAGATTCAACAAAACATATAAGTACTTTTGCAGTTACCAGAATAGTTTGTATACTCTTTGATCGATGTGGCAATTGTAGCATGAATCAGAGGTTCGTTTAATTTTTCCCCAATATTCAAAATGAGTGCAAAGTTGTCACTCGCAGTGGTGGATAGGTATGTATCTTCATCCCTGAGTTTCCAGCATTGCTTAGACACAACTTCAGAGAAGAGGAGGCAATGAAAAGACTACCTTCATGTACAGGCTTGGGTTAAGTCGAGTATAAAGTAGAAATTCAGTGTTGATGTACTCAGGAGATTTGGGAGGGAAACGAAAGAACACATCGAATGGTGCCTCATTCGTAAAACAGCCTATGTCGCCATAGCAAATCTCCTCGGCAATACCTTGAAAACACAGTAACGAATAGATGGAATTAGATAACCAAACCCAATCAAATGTTTCGAACTGCGACCTGTGCCCCCATCTTGGTAAGCATCCCATGCAGGCGACTCAGACTTGACAGACACATAACAAATATTTCAAAATTCTCAAAACTGTATTGGCCTACTTGTTTCACGCTTTGTTTTTTTTAATCGATACACAATTAAATGACGCTATACTCACCCGTAGTTATCAGACGTTCAGCCATCCAAACGAACAAGAAATGTGTAAGAATGCGCATCATTGAAAATGTCGAAGGATTTTCATTCGCTCTGTGAAAGCTGCAACAAATTATGTCTGATACTGTGTCAGAAATCTTGTTTCATGAAGAATGTACTTTATAAGGCCAGTTCTTAGACACGTTATTAGAACAATGGGCACATTATTAACTTCCTGGGGGTTCGCAAACCAAAATGATTTCAGGAGATACGGACCGTCTATTTCTGGAACAGTGCTGTTTGCAAAACTTATTGTTAATCTGTTGTTATTTAACGAAGGAAAACATTCATATCAAGTGAGTTAGTAAAAATATTTTAATCTACTTCCGTATTGATTATATCAAAATGAACTGTGGGCGTTTATTAGGAGAAGTGTAGAACCTCTTGTTACCGGCTTGAAAGCCTATTTTTTACTCTCAATCAACAAGCAAAAATTTTAAACGTTACGGCATTGGCAGTTACCGAGATTTTCGCAATATAGATAATAATAACAATCATAATGCCTTCTTAAAAAGCGTCTTACATTGTAAAACAATCTCAAGGCTCCTTACAATTAGTTAAAAATTGCATAAAATGGAAGTTTATTTTAGTGAATTACATAAAAATTCTAAACTCGGCTACATGCAGTTGTAATCAATTATATAAAAAAACACTAAAAGTTACAAATGCATAAAAGAACTAAAGTAAAATAGGAATTAAACTTCAGTTAAATTGAAAAAAGATAAGATTAGGACTACTAATTAGGTAAAATACTGTTCAAAGAGGTGAGTTTTCAGTGAAAACTTAAAAGGTTCAATATAGTGGGTTTAATGTGGATCGAGATTAGGAGTTTATTTAAAAGAGGCGTGGTGCAGCGACAGCAAACGCACGGGCCCCATAGAACTCAGTGTTATACTTGAACTCTATAAATCGGATCTCATTTACTCCCTGACGTGTACATCTACTCGGGGTCCATTTAGTTAAAACTTCACAAAGACACAGAGGTGCTGAAACCTTGATACCAGTTCGATTAACGAGACAAGCGGCTGAGTTTTGGAGAAGTTGAAAACGATGAACGAGAGATACTGGGAGGCCATACAAAATGCCATTACAATAATCTAGACAAGAAATAACAAAAGCATGAATAAGACGTTCTGTGCAAGTGCGGCTTAAAAACTTTCGAATACGACTAATGATTAATACGATAAAGAGAAAATGATACCGACTGACAAAGCTTCGAAATGTGAACGTCCGTTGATAAAACCGTAGTATCAAAGTAAATGCCCAGGTTCCGAACAGAATTACAGCAGGTAACAGTTACACTCCCAATATTCAATGATACCAGTTTTTCTGCCTGTTTGAAATTCGAGTGAAAGTGAATCATCTCAGTTTTACCTTCGTTGAGTGCAAGCTTATTGGCTGCCATCCAATTACTAACATCTTTCATACATTTCACAATGGAACTAACTGAATCTTGGGCTCTGGAACATGTGAGGTACATTTGAGTGTCAGCATGAAATATACAATCAAGTCCACGGGAAGAAACAATATCCTCGATTGGTGAAGTTGTACAATGTCAAAAGCAAATTAAAGGACCGTGTAAACTGCCTTGTGGCACGCCATGTAAAAGTGGAGACGGAGGAGATAAAACGTTATCAACAAAATAACAGATGACGATCGCTCAAGTATGATTTAAACCAATCGACAGCGACACCGGTGATGCCATATTGATTTGACATTCTTGAAAGGAGTACATTATGGTCAATAGTGTCGAAAGCTGCCAAAAGGTCAAGTAAAACCAAAACGACTTCTCTTCGTTTATTCACAGACAATAGGATGTCATAAACTCTCAATAAGGCGGTTTCAGTGCTATGAAACTTTCTGTAAGCGGATTGGAAGTTTGTATACAAATTGAATTCCTGCAAATGGCTGTGTAATTGATGCATTACAACTTTCTCAAGCACCTTACTATTGAATGGAAAGTTGACACTGATCTAAAATTATGATAAATCATTGAAATCAAAACCAGGTTTCTTTAGAAGTGGATGTAGTGGCAATATGGAATACTGCCTGAACAAGAACTGACAAAACTATTAGAGATGACACCATTCCTACACAATTCAATACCTCTGTGCGAATTGGATCAGTTATTGCACAAGATTTAGTTTTCATTGACATAATGAGTTCTTCAATGTCTGATTCCATGACTGGCTGAAACTGGGAGGAGTGGCTTATGGTGGTTTCTGAAGTATCTAGCTGACTGCTATCCGAGAATTGTTCCCGATTTTTCATAATTTTCTGAGAAAAATCTGAAAACTTGTCGGCATGAGCAACGCGTCATCATGACGTGGAAGTCACTATCTACAATAATAGTTATTATTATAATAATAATTTCGGAGAAATTCGCAATTGACCAAAATTTAATTCAGTTTAAACAAATATTCGATACGATCGAATTTATACAGTAGAGTATACTTAAATTATCACCACCCAATTAGGGGAGCAAAAAACCTTTTATTGATTTTTTATTTCCATATTGGGTGAAAGGTTTCATACTGCAAAACGAAACTCATTTGGTACGGGCATAACTTGACCTCTGCCCTGATGATGTCCATTGGAGCACTTCTTTTGGATACCTGTGAATAAGGAGATTTTCCCTTTTCTGGGGGATGTTGTTTCACCATACGATAAGTTACCACGATTTTTTTATGGACTATCTTCACAAACTGCGGCTTTCACACGTTTCTCATCTCCCGATTATCATTTACGCAAAATGACAATTCGAAGCTTAGTCAAATAATCAACCTTGAAAAGGTTTGCCAGATGCCATTGGATTAGGCAAGCAGTTTCTTTCACACCGATAAGCAGTCATATTTTATCCATCCAGTTAGTGTTCTTTGCATTCTATCCCAGCGGAATAAAACAGGTTCTAGTGTTTCTGAGGCCCCTCAGTCCAGCAATATAATTGGCTCTTTCACCATTTCTCGATTTCTATTTGCCGGCATGGCTCGTCTGTTATTTGTAGTTTTATGCTTGCTCTTTTTTTCTCGACATCAGGGTAAGCAGTTCAACATTTACTTTTCGCGACTTCATTGTTGCGTGCTGGCACTAGAAGGACTTTTTATGATGTTTCAATTATTACATAGCAAGATTTTTGTCATCGCATTTATTTTTAACTAAAGCAAAATTTTTGTATGACTTTTGTTAATGTGGTCACCATATTTTTTATTTCCCAACATGTATCATTAACCTTAGTAAAAACTTGTTCAACATTTTGCAACTGTTTCAGTTCAAGCGGAGTCTGTTTGCTACGATGATCTTGGATGTTTTTCGAACGAAGCACCCTTCGATGTATTCAATAGTTTCCCGCCAAAGAGCCCGGAGTTTATCAATACAGAATTCTTATTGTATACACGGCTGAATAGAGGTCGGTACATAAAGGTATGAAGAGGTACCACTATACCAACATAACCTCGCCCCTCCGTATAGCAGAGAAGACGGGGTACCTGACAGAATGGGAAATAGGATGTAGCCTTTTAAGGAACAGGCTATTTGGGTTTTGTTTCAGTTTCGTGTCTTTTCCTTTTTTGTGGGCAGGCTTGGTTCAAAGATCTACAGATTCCAACGAAATGATTGAAAAGAATTGTATGAACCAGCCAAGATATCTTCATTTGTATTTCAATCTGAACATCAGGAGTGGAATTGATACCCTGAGTGAAACTTTCTGACGTGGGGGAACTGGAAGTTATTGTGGAAGACATAGTGATATTGATGTGCCAGCTTTTCCTTCTGACCCAACTAGGTCGATAGAGCTGACCCTAACTCCCTCCATTCCTCTACCTTTAATTCGGGGAGAAGGACAGTATTCATTATCCATGGTTTCACCGAAAAAGGATCTGATTCACTGTGGATGAGCGACCTCAAGGAAAAACTACTCACAGAGGTATAGTTAGATGCTCGCTTTATCGCGTTTACGTAGCACATGATAAAATTGTTTATTACATCTGTGGAAAGAACATTCAGTTTTAAGCTTGAGATTTTGATAGTTTGTGAATTTGAGCAGAAAACATTTGAAAGTTAACAGAAAGCCGGCTCACCATCATAACATTCTTTTAAATGGGTTTCTTTTCCTGTAGCAAAACTTGAACGTATTTCTAGTGGACTGGGGCAACGGGGCAAGGAACCTGTATGGTCAGTCCGTGCAAAACACACGCGTAGTCGGCCGTGTTGTTGCCAGATTTATGCAGTTTCTAAACAGCGAGACGAGTGCTACATTTGCCGATATGCACATTATTGGTCACAGTCTCGGTGCGCACACCGCCGGCTTTGCTGGAGCGTTCCAATTTGGAATCGGCAGAATCTCAGGTAAGTCTGGCTTACTGCTACTCCCATAAGGCCACATTCTTTTAAGTTTAGTTGTAATGCTTATGAGGAAAGGCTTCAAAATTCACAGTTTTGTAATTTATTTATTTATTTATTTACTTTATTTATCCAGGGTATGCAAAAAAAATTTACTAAAACTGGGTTCCATTGGGGCCCTGCAAACACTCATAAAAATGATGCATATACAATAACACAAAACTTAAAAATAAGACACCTTCACGATTGTATATACAAACCTTAAATCTAACAGGGTACACCAAAACATACGGAACGTCAACATGATGAATTTTTTTTAAAGACAAAGCGCACGCAAAATGCACAATAAACGAAAAACAAAAAGTATTACACTCCAACAATAACACTCATGCCTATTTCGGAAGAGCGAAAATCCTACCAAACCAAACCTTTTCTTGTGGGGAAAAAACAGGAGAATTCCCTTCAAGGTCCTGAATGAAAACTTAATTTAAAGCGACCAAGTCGCACGACTCCTTAGATTCACCTTTCCTCCCTTAAATTTACAATCCATAGATGTTATGTACAATGTATATTTTTGACGAAGTGCCGATTTGAATAGAAGAAGAAATAGTTCTAAGTTGTGCATTAAGATTATTCCAGATAACGGCGCCAGATACAGCAAAGCTTGAGGCATAAGAATCCTTGTGTGCAAAAAGAATTTTTAATTTGTGTCCTCTCAGCAGATTGCCGAGTTTGACCTTGAGCATGTGGCGTAAATAGACCCGTTAATACTGCGGGGTCAGAGAATTGATATTTTTAAAAACAAGAACAGCTTTCTTATAATGAACTCTCGCTGGATACTGAAGCCAATCAAGTTTTTGAACATAACAGCTGCATGAGGGAGTTTGAAAGTCACATTTTAGTACTACTCTCGCTGCACGTTTGAGGCATTTATTTAAGCCAGCGATTTGTATCGGTCATCCCGCACTGTGCAACAGTAATCTAGACTAGGCATGACTAAACTTAAATACACACGTAGAGTGTACATCTAGCTTTGTGTAACACAGTCCCGAATTGTCTTTAACATGGCTAGTCTCGAAGAAACTGTCTTTTTTACATAATCGACATGCTGATTCCAAGTTTAATCAATAATAACACCCAGGCGTTTAAACGATTTTACTTTACACACCGGGGTATTATTGATATGTTTGTTCGTCTCCCAAGTGCCAACCTTTTTCTTTGAGCTTATGAGCATGCACTTGGTTTTACTGGCATTGACTTTGACTTTACTTTGGATGGACCACTAATGAATCATAGCTAATGATATGTTCAAGTTATTTTCATTTTCAGCAGTTCTTGTTGACGGAAAGTCTTCGATTTGACGTCTACCTGCTCGCTCCCTCCTCTGTTTTCCTGTTGTCTCATAATTTCGACCGGTACTCACTATTGTACAAAGTTATCATTAAGGCTACGGAAACTACCGAAGCATTTAAATTAATTTAAAATAATTTAATTCGTGCGACAGTATATTAAAGTAAATTTGTCCCTCGATTGCCATGCTTTGACCCAGCTGGTTCATAAAATAACTAGTAATAGAAATACGTACTGGCGTAAAAATTTTGAATTGTTGTGTTTGCTTCTTTTTTCCAGGTCTTGATCCAGCTGGTCCATATTTTACTTCCACCGATACGGCTTGTCGTTTGGATCCAAGTGACGCCATCTTTGTTGACGTCATCCACACTGATGCCGAAGTCATCGGCTGTGGCATCGAAGAGCCAGTTAGTTAACAGTATTAATGTTGCCACTGTTTTCACATGCTGAAAAGTTCCGATGTCCGTGTCTGAAGTATACAACAGATATAATGATGTGTGCTGTCAGTGAATTAGCAAAGGTAATTCGAAGCAAAGGTAATAGCGAAGTATAATCATTATTTTTTCAGAGTGGACACATAGATTTCTACCCTAACAGTGGGAAGGAACAGCCTGGTTGTCCTGCTAATGTCGGGGACGTATGTAAGTTTCCTGTTGGGATTTCTGCAATTTATCTTTAATGGAGTAGATAATAATCATAAACAAGATATTATTGCAAGGATATAAATGATTTGCAAAGTTGCAATTGTACTAGAAATCAACAAATGGAGTTATAAGAACATTCTTGCAATTTATTGATGCTATAAACTTTGGTGCTCTAAAATGAAAGCAGTTGAATTTAATTCCAATGCAATTCAGGTAATAATATTATTATTATATATTTCTTGTAATGACACGAAGGATTCCTCAAAAGCCCCCTATGCACTGTAGCTCGCATGCCTGAAGAAACCTGTAGAGAGAAGACAGTGAGAGGTAGTTTTTTTTAGAGGTGGGAGGAAAACCCCAGATGAATATTTTTGGTAAAACCTTGGGAATCAGGTAGGGACTGAAAACCCATTCCACACGTGGACCGAGCTGGGATTAGAACTGGGCCCCAGAGGTGGAAGGCGAGGAAAGAACCACTACGCCAACCTGACTCCCCTACATTATTAAATGTAGGCCCTATCAACAAAGAAGGTCTACAGAACACAATCAGAACAGATTTTCTTTGACATGAGGGAACATAATCAACACAGGTTTCTTTTTACGGCCGATTTCCCATTGAATAAAGATGGTTGAGATGGTTAGAAATTAAATCAGGATGCGTTGATGGCAACCAATCTGCATTACACCGTTGTCTTTCTAAAACAAAAGCCTCATCTATACCTTTTTTGTTTTCAATGAAAGGGGCAAGTCCCTCAGAATTGGAAATTAAGAACAAGTCCTTAAATTTAAGTTTCTAATTGATTCAATTAATGGCTATTTCAACAGAATGATTGCAATTCTCCTTTTCTGTTAAAGGACGTTGTAAATTTGAAGCGACCCTCTCAGAGTTTCAGTTTTACACCTTTTAGTGATCATGGGCACCATCAATAACATGGTCAACAGAGATCCTACAACACATCTTATAAAAACCGAACTAATTATGACGTACATGGAAATAAAAATTGGACAGGAAGTTCAAGGCACACAAGATGTATTGAAAGATGACTGCGGGATTATAGGGGTTGTTTGTTGAATTAGTGTTATTTTTCTTTACTTGTTTTGATTTGATGTTGTCTTCAATCTTTTGTAAATCCCTTTCTCCCTTTTTAAAATTTGTAATTCAGAATGAGCGAGATATCTAGCAAATTGTCTTATTTCCACTCATTAACGTATACATTTTAAATGTATTTCTACCAGGTTATGATCATTTTAATTCCGATGTTTTAATTTTAAATTGTGCATTTTAATTAATGCATGCTTGTTATTTTGTTCACGTTAAATTTCCCATCTTTGTTTCTTTTGGGCAATTCTTCAGGAGCTGTTCAGTTTCATTTTTTTCTGTCGTGGTCTTGGATGTTATTGTCTGGTTTGTTTATTTGTGTGTGTTATTTTGGGGGTGTTGGCGTGTTTGTTTGTTTATTACATTTATGATGCTTTCTTTTCTAATTTGTAAAGTCTAATTCCTGGAAACAAAGCAAAATAGGTTTAAATCTTATATACAACAGTACTTATGTTTGTTTTTACTTTAATTTCACCTTCGAAGCCGATCCCTTTGAGGTTAGCTGCAGCCACATTCGTGTCTTGGACTTCTACATCGAGAGCTTGGATTCCAGCCAGTGTGAATTTGTTGCCTACCCGTGTTCCAACTGGGACCGGTTTGTAAATGGGCAGTGCACCAGCTGCGGTTGGAAAGGGTGCCCCAAGATGGGATACTGGGCCGATCGATCTTTAGCAACTGGTAACTTCTACTTACAGACTGGAGCTCAGTCGCCTTTCTGTGCATTCTAATTGCGCTTGACGAGGACAACAAACCTGTCTGGTATTATAAATGAGCATCAGAAATTAGAATCGAATCCCTGACCTCTATTAGCTCAGAGATTTTTGTTAAAACTACAGTTATACAAGTTTCTTTTTGATTAAGAAATACAATGGTTTTTTTTAAATTACATGCCTCAATGTCTTACTTAGATTTGTTAAGTTACTGGATCACTGAATGGACACTTCGCATGCACTATTAGCCATACAGCAGTAAAGGGATGCAAATAGCGTTTCGAGTCTTGGGTATGGGATATAATTGTTTCAAAAAAAAAAACGACCGTCGAAATGTTTCATCGTATCTCGGGATCAACTCGTATGGAGTGAGGGAATTTAGCCCTACTTCCCCCTCCCCCATACTCGCTGGTCGGCACCTTCCAATTATTTAATCAGAAATCACTTGAAAAACTCATGACACTCGTTAAAGGGAGAATGTTACGCAATGATTATCATCAAAGATAATACAATCATGTCATAAAATGAGATTCCGTAAATGCTTACTGGGTTTCCTATCCGATGTCACATCAAAAAGAAATCATAGCAAATACAGATTGGATAACAACAGTTTTTGTAACAATTGATTTGTGAATTCCAAGATTGATCTTCCTCATTTTTCGCATTGGCGAGAAAGTCTATTCCTTGTTATTGAAACAACTCAAGCCGTTAATCGTGGGCATTGCGAGGGGGAAGGGGGCGCTTGCCTCCTGGAAGAAAATTAATATGGGAAAGGAAGAATGCAAAAGAAAATTTTCAAAAAGGTGAAAGGGGTGGAATCACCATTTGCTTTAAATAAAGCTTCCCCGGAAAAAAAATCCTGGCAATGCCCATGCATGAACTGCGTTGAGGAAGAAACACTCATAAATGCAAACTATATTCAACTACATAGAGTTAGGCATAGTATGGCAGTGTTGTTTTAGCTACGGTTACAGACATAGATTTATCTTACACAGAGTTTAGTCGGAGTTTCAGAAGTACAGGTATAGTAGTTCTTGTGACGATATCTCATTATTTGCTTTAAACCATTACTCTGTGCAGTGTGTCAGTGGTATTAATCGGATTACAATGGATCAGATAACTACTAAGATCACGAGATGCTAAGTCGGCCATTTCCTAGCAACTGGTGGCCTTCTTATCGACATGATTCTGCACTGTGTTCCGAACCTCACGCAATTATCTTCAAAATGACATAAGCAAATACCCATAATTAGCAAGCCGCAACTTTGGCCCAAAAGGTAAACTTTGGTTTAAAACTTTGATATAAGGATGGTCTGAGGGTGATACTTTGACGGAGTTATAAATAAAAAGGGGCTACACGGGCTCAGTAGCAGTTAGACTGACTGTGGAAATAATTATCATCCACCAAATAACAGGGCATTTTCAAGATAGCTTAAGATCACTTTACACTCGATCGACTGTGGAATCAGTGTTGTTTCTCCGCCATCATCGTCATCATCATGAAACGATTTCTATTGGTGGCAAGTTGCCTTCTGAATCTGTGCTTTCAATCAGGTAAGATTAATTATCCGTTAACGTAAAGATGTAACTCGTTTGGTGCATCCTGGTAGATGTGTTTTGCAGGTGTCAATACAGTACTGAAGGTTTAGTTTTTTGAAGGGTTTTGTATGTAGCTTCTTGAAAGACTATTAACGGAACTTTGCTTCCGGATACTGCTTTCCCTGATGTCATAAAACAAGCAATGCTTGTGAGCATCAGATTCACAGTTCGGTTTTTCCGGAGGGGATTCGAACCCACGACTTCCTCCTGACCAGTGCAGACGTCTTCATCACTGACCACTGAATCTGCTTTGGTCGGCACAGTCTTGTCAATCCGAATCTCATATGCCAGTGCGTATCCATGCAGTTTACTGGATAAGAAGTTTTGCGTTTAGGGTACATGATCTTCACTCGTGAATTCTGATAGCACCTTTTTACTGTAAATTTTGTCATAGTGAATGCGTTCAATCAGTTCATGATGTGCGTCTTGATAACTCTTTCAGTTTTTGCTGAGGAGATATGCTACGATGATCTCGGCTGCTTCTCAAACGATCCACCATACGATGTCTTCTTCAGGTTTCCGCCAAAAAGCCCTGACTACATCAACACACAGTTTTTGTTGTTTACTCGCCTAAATACGGAATTGTACATGAAGGTATGCCTGAGGTTATACCCGAATAATCAACAGCTTAAAAGTCACACCTTCTTTTACTTAGTACAATGTATGAGCTGGATATCATATGAAATAAAGTCTTCTTATAAAACTGACAACCAATTCGTAAAGCTGCGTCTCTCTCAGCCTTAAAGTGTAGCTGTAATGAATTCTTTTACTATTTTTATTTAACTTTGAATTATTCAATCTGTGGTTAAATGCATTAAAAAATTCATGCTTTAGACTATTAAAATTACCCATTCTTTCCTGGACAACTGTTGCTGTAAACAGGCCTAGATTCAGTTCACAAGTGTTTCTGTTCAAATTGTAAACCCAGAATATAACTAACTGAAAACATTACAGAGAGAGAGATTAATGCTTTCTTATTGCTGTGTACATAAATAACAGAATCAGTAATGAAGAGAAAAATGAGTCCAGGAAAATCTAAAAAGATGCAGGGTTTTTTGTGTTCAAACCAATGTAGCATTGAGGATTCTTCCCGATATGACATCACAGTTTTGCTCATGAATATGGATATATCATCAGCATAAAAACCAAAAGGCGGTACAATGTACCCTTTGAAATCGTGAAACAAATGTTGAACCAAGGTTAACTGAGACACAAGGGTGCAGTTTGAAGATCTGTATTCAAACAATTGATTGTAGCTTCCCTTTAACCAAGACACTGGGCTTGTCATTCAGTGTAGGCCTATTCCATAAGCCTGGTGTGTGGCGAATGATGAATGGAAAGTTGATGTGACGCACACTTTCCATGGTTACAAGGCTAGCGTTTGTCAGTGTATTTTAATTAGTGCGCATTTCTGTTCTCTTCATGCAAAACTTCTCAGACACACTTTCGCAATGCATGCAGGCCCACTCGTGAGGTGAACGCTCCTACGGAACAGCCTTTCTAAGACCCTTGGGTCTGTAGTGTTGTTGGCATTTCCTACTCCATTCAAAAAACCATACCAGAGGTCTCCCTCCAGTGAGTTTGGCCTCTGAAAACCTTAAGTCAATGCTGAATTTAATAACCTTTATCAATAAACCTTTACAGATTGACCGAACAGACCCATCCTCCCTCCAGTATTCTACATTCAACGCCTTAAGAAGAACAGTAATTCTCATCCATGGCTATACAGAGAAAGGAGCCAGATCAGAATGGATGAAGGAACTGAAAGACCAGCTTCTCACAACGGTAATGGAAATCTAAATTTACCCTATAATACAATAAATCTTCCATCAAAATATATGATGAAAAAATCATTTGCGTTTTCAGAAGGTGGAAGTTTTTGTTCCTATAACTACGAGACGCATGTAAACAAGATTTTTAACCGTTACAACACAATTTCTTAACAGTAATTCCATTTTTTGCTGAATAGAGAAATGGAGAACCTCCATCAAACTTGAATAGTTTTGAAGGTATTTTTCCTCGTCCATCTGTAGGAAAACCTAAACGTGTTCATTGTGGACTGGGGAGCTGGGGCAAGGAATCTATACGGCCAGTCAGTGCAAAACATTCGCGTTGTTGGTCGTGTTATAGCCAGATTTATGCAGTTTTTGAACACCCAAACTGGAGCAAATTTCGCCCGTATGCATCTCATTGGCCACAGTCTCGGGGCGCACATCGCTGGCTATGCAGGAGCTTTCCAACCAGGAATCGGTAGAATCACAGGTGGGAGCCCTTCCAAATCTCTCAATGATGGTTCTCAATTCAAATCTCCCAATGATTGGATGTTCTTAATAGGAAACAATGCCAAAACAGGTAGGAAATATGTCCTGCAAAGGGCACGTTCATGTCAAACAAAGAACATGCACAGCGTACTGTCAAAAGGAGACGGCTTATGTCCTTTCTCCGAAATACCTACGCAGACATCGACTAAGTTGGTCCAATGACGAATGACGTTGTACAAAGAGAAAACAGAAGTTAGCAGAGCCATCATTTCCTTCAAGCGAGTACAATCTCTCTATGTATTTGTTTTTCTTAGGTCTTGATGCTGCTGGACCGAATTTTTCCGGCAATGATCCGGCTTGTCGTCTGGATCCTACCGACGCCATTTTTGTTGACGCAATTCACACCGATGCTGAAGTGCTAGGACTTGGAATCGTTCAACCGGTTCGTTTTGGCCCCTACCAATATTAAAAAACTAACTCGACAAAATGTGTTGCATTATGTCTCGCTTTCCCCTTCATAGTTAAGTACTGTTTCAACTTATCTTGGTTTAATTTCTTGTTACTCCAGGTTGGTCACATGGATTTCTATCCAAATGGCGGGAAAGAGCAGCCTGGATGTCCTGCTACCGTCGGGGATGTTATACGTAAGTGGCTGTTTTGTTTTTATTACTGCTTCATCACGTGACTTAAAGGCGAGGCATATAATGAAATGACACCTGTTTAAAAAGTCATTCTTACAATCAAAAACTTTAAAGACTAATGAAACCTTGGCACGTGTTTATATTGTGTATTGTTTGTGTATTTCTATGATACAGTGGACCCGATGGAGGTCAGTTGTAGCCACAGCCGTGTTCTCCAGCTATTCACTGACAGTTTGAACTCAAGTCAGTGCCAGTTTATTAGCTACCCTTGTCGCAGTTGGGACGACTTCGTGGATGGCAAGTGTAATGATTGTGGTCTTATGGGCTGTCCTAGGATGGGATACTGGGCTGATTTGTCGCTGGCAAGTGGAAGTTTTTATCTGCGAACAGGTCAAGGGTCGCCGTTTTGCAAAGTTTAGTTTGGCTAGAATGAATCTCAAGTTTCCTGATAAAGGTTTCACATAGGTTGTATCCTATGTACTTTTTTATTTCTTGATATTTTTATAACGCGACTTTTTATAATGTTCTCAGCCTTTACGCATTCTAACTCAGTGTCTAGTCAGCTTATCTAATAATGGTATTTTATACATCCCTGGACTTTTATTCTGTACAAGCAATGAATCAACGATGTCGTCAATCATGTCGATCGTATGATGCCATGATAACATCTGTAAATTATGTAATATGGGGAAAACGCTCGAACAATTGTTCTTTGAGTACTACCGAAACACGTAAGCCTAATGCCGGCAGCAGATACTCAAAGAACTGACCATAAGGTCACCCCCAGCTCCATTTAATGGGTTCCGTCACAACAAAAAGTGGCCTAAATTTTCAACCATTCGGAGGGAAATGGGTTGGCACTGTATTACAGTGTCAAGTTGGAACCTAGTGAAAGATGAGTAATCCTATGTTTTCTTTCTTAAAACGTAGTACAACTAGAACACTTTCTTTGATGGGCCTTTCATGAAACCAGCTTGTTGCAATATTAAATGTATTCGTTTATATTTTTACATACATGTACATTGGTCTCTTGTGCCGTATAGCTGTGAACAAGATCACTTTTGTAAAATGCTGTTACTTGTAGAAAAGATTTTTAAGGTTAAACATGTTCCGTGCATAGCGTGTAGATCCGTTTTCACCCCCTAATTGTAAGTTTGGCTTGTGTCTCGTATATATCCCAATCACATGTGAAGATTTTTCTTCTTCAAAATACTTGTACATGCCATGTACGTGTACATCCAGGAAAACGGAAGACACGCCCCCCCCCATTTTTACCATAGGGATGGGTAATGGTATTTTCAATCCCCCCCAAAAAACTGTCCGTTTTGTCCTTTTCCCTTCCTGTCACTGAACACGATCGTGTAAAATAAATAAATAACAATTATAACTTTCAAAGAAAAGTCTCTTGAATGTCTGGATTTCTGCTTGTGACTGATATGGATATTTAATTCGGGGCTCACCTTTCGTCTTTGGCATGTGTTTATTTTGCTATTTTATCATTAGTGATCCCCATCTGTGTAAGACCTCGAATTGCCATTGCCCGAGAGAAAGTAATTTATTATAACATACTATAATTATGCTCCTTATATGCTGAATGCGTCTACCTGTCCTATGGATGAGGCTAAAAACAAGATCTCCTCCAAACAGAACTATACGTTGGAGTTTGAGGTAAGGCTGTTGCTATATATAAGCTTGCAGGCCAGTAAATGGTCCCAAAATACGGGCGATTCACAATAGTGCGCCTCCAAGAGTTTGCAACGCGTTGCGGGCTAATCACAACGCGCGAAATTTGTCGACCATTTCCAAACGCGCATTAGGTTGAAAGATTTCGCGCATTGTGATTGGCCAACGCGTTGCAAACTCTTACAGGCACCTATTTTGAAACGTCCGTATTGCCTTCATGTCACAGACTAGATCACGATTTACATGCTGTCAATTTTTCTGCTGCTTGTTCGTGACACGTGGACTGGATGGTTTGCAAACAAGAAGGATGGATCATTGAACTTACAAGCAACAAGACTGCCGACTGGTACTTCTGAAAGTATTGGACAAAATGAGGCCCTCTATATCGCTCTATTTTGGAATGGAGTGTAGGCATCAATTTTCAAAATGGCGATGGGCCTCGTAACTGTTTTGAGGGGTAATTTTCTCTGGAGAGCAATATTTTCAAAAGTCATCAGTTAAGCCACTGAAAAGTGAGAGGAAAAATGAAAGATAAGGAAGTGAACTTCAATTTGATATGTGTCTTGAACACCTGTGAAATTTGTAAGTAGTTTTCCTGATTTTTTAAAGTGGGGATATTTATCACTGATGTCTGCGGCAGCTTACTCACTGGTCTGTACTCGTAAACGCTGTCCAACGTTTGTAATGAAGATTGCGCCCTCAAATTGACATTTATAGGCCCCAATGTGAAACAAAAATCAAATAAAGCGCCCTCTAGCAATACATGACGATTCCTAATCAACTTGCACAAGAAGACTCGCTTATGGATCCACCGCATGTCAAACGTCTTTCATCAAGATTATCCTAAAAAAACTTTACTTACCCCAAATGTGCACGTTGCTTGAGTTGAACTTATTCCAAAATCTTTGTTTTCCAATTATCAATTCTAAAAGTCCTTAATATTACAGTTCTCAGCACATTTACACACACCGGAGAGTAAGATCATAGGTCAAGCATTTGCGTCCGAAGCCATGATGAAGTCTGTAAATATAGACCACAAACGCCAGTTTATATCTTTTTTACAAATTCGGTCTGATCAGTGGAAGATCCAGTGTAAGCCAAGGCGTAACTGAAAAAATGATCATCTCTTTGTTCATCCCAGTGAAACGTTCGTATAAAAAAACAGAATAAAGCAATAACCGTTTCATAAATCATTGCACAGATCATTTAAGATGAGGTTTGGTTCATATTTTGGATTACTCATGTAACAAATAGAAGGCTTACCTCCGCGTTAGCGTATGTACAAGTGCAACATTATAAACACCTTTATTATCATATATTTGCATAACCCCGACGGATAAATATTTGTGCGAGTGCATCGTTTTGAGAGTTGGAGTCATTTCAAACTGATTATCTATTTATACTGATTGAAAAATTAATGATTATATCAATAATTCCAGGGCCATGGATTATGCATCTGCCACGATTCTCAGTATCTGTGGTGTCATACAGCACGTTGAACGCGTTCGTCACGTCTGATTTGAATAATCATGAGTACTTCCATACCGAATAATATACGCATACAGTTTATATCTTGCAGGCAAATGCTATATTTTAAAAGAGGTCACATGCAATTTTTCATAGTTTCTAATATTCTACCGAAATCAGTGTAGGTCATGTTGCAGTAAATTTCTCATAAATAAACGAATAGCAGAGTTCAACTTTTCCCTTGCAGTTGCTTTTTAATTGTTTATTTGCAACTCATTTCTGTATTTTCCTGCTGGGTGAATCGAGGTCAAATAGAAGTGGAAGTCATAATAGGTGCGGCAGTCCATTTTTTGTTTTGATTGTAATATCGACGGACATGGGATTTTCCCTCCCACAGTTCAATTTATATTTTGCACTTACGATTCTGAGAAGGGACAGTGTACCGAAAGACAGCTACCAACTGGACAACGTGCAGGGAGTAGCGCCACGAAGGCGCGCAACCAATCAGAGTGATTGGAATAATTAATTTTGATGGATTATAGATACGGACATTGCAAACCATGGGCGACGTACACGAACGGGTCGCTGCCTATTGTAATAACAGTCGTTAGACGAGCTGTCTGTGCACGTGACAGCAGCGACACGATAACCGGGACGAGCTGTCTGTTATGATGGTAATATTCAAGCTGTAATCGTGTACAAGAGTAAGTCAGAACTTACCCCTTGTTTACTATGCAGATACCAGTATTTTACCGAGATACCATTTGCAACACTGTGGCTTCACAATGTATTAAGCATGATCAAATAAACATCATCTCAATTTTCGCTGTTTTTGAGACAAATATTTCGTCAACATAATATTGAGTTTGGTTTAGTTTGCGTGAACTACTTTTCCTGCAGGCAGAGAAAATTCATTATTGAATTACTGTTGTTAACACAAATTTATTTTGAGCTCCATAAAAGTTTGTTTTGTAGCCAGCAACTTAACGCATTATTTAACACGGACTGTGAAACAGAAATGTAGGCCTACTGAGCTGCACACAGTAAAGAATTATTACGGAGAGATTTTTTATTTTCTGATTACATGTATCTGTATTTCAAGTTTTGTTTTAGTTTTCTATAGGGCGCTCTTAGAGTTTAAATGTCAATGTATAAAATGTCTGGCATACCATACCACTATTACCCTACACATGACGACCGGCGGAATGCACATGCTTACGTTCTATTCAATCCATTTTTAGATGAGCAGATGACTGCAGCTTGCAGCTTTTAATACTGTTAACCAGCCATGTTGTTTTATAAGTTTTTTAAATTTGTTAACTGATTGCAAAGAATGTTTACCGCATCACTTTTAAACAACTGCAGTTATTTAAGTCTAATGTGTATGCTCTCAGTTACTTCTCATTTGCGAAACCTGAAAATACACTTCCTGTGGACCCAAAGTCCAAATTTTCTGAATAGATATGCTCATAAATTATTTTTCAATTATTTTGCTGGTGGGCATAAAACGATGTTACAATCCACAGTTATCGCAGATGATACTTGAAAATTTTGTTTCTCATATAATTTCCGTCAGATCTTATTTTAAAATTATTTTTAAAATTTATCTCCAGTGACAACTACTAAAGGTTATACGTCATTTACTAATTAGTGTATTAAAACATTATCAAAATACACATTACACAGTAAACATTCAACATAAAAAATTCACTATGAAAGATATCTCAAAACATCAAGAAATAACAAGAGCTAAAAATAATATACATAAAAAAGGGAAAATATTCAAAGGACATCACAGCCCAAATAGACAGACAGCCCGTCATGCCAATTGACAAAAGGCTACAGGCCCGTGAATGACTTCATATAAAAACAATCGAAAACAGCAAAAACATGAAAGGTTATTACAATCCCGTAAACCCTTACTTAGAGAGTGAGAAAGGTGCAAAAATACTGTTATCCTTACCTTTGGTTTCAAACTGCGCTTGCTTAAGTTATTGGTTGTCCTTTCTAGAAACGATTTGACGTTAATACATGTAATGCCATTCCAAACAATAAGACTTCAAACGGCGTTTTCCGTGTGCATGGGCTATTGCCATAAATTAACCAGTCGAAATTCAGGACTGACTTTATCTCTTTCATTTTTATTCTCTATTATTGCCTGTATCTCGCACAGAAATATCAACTAGTTGTGGTTAACCCAGAACTATCATGGCCCAGGATTCTATCCCGTCGAAAGCTGTGATCAAGAGCGCCGACATGAGCGAAGACGAGCAGCAAGACGCCATCGAATGTGCGCAAAAAGCTATGGAGAAGTTCAACATTGAAAAGGATATCGCTGCCAGCATCAAAAAGGAGTTTGATAGTAAACACAACCCGACGTGGCACTGCATTGTGGGTAGGAACTTCGGCAGTTACGTCACCCACGAGACTAAACACTTTATCTACTTCTATCTAGGCCAGGTAGCCATATTACTCTTCAAATCCGGGTAGCCAGGGCGATTTTCGTAGACGAGTCCGATTAAAATCTTGCAGAACTTTGGTAATAATCTGAAGGAAAAAATGGAAAAGGTCTGTTTATCATATTTTCCAGTTATAGTTTTGTAGGGTAAAGGTGTCATTCTCATAGCTAACAACACACGTTGAATCGCCACTCCAAAACCCCTTCATGTGTTTTTATTGAAAATAAACATGATTGTTTTAAACAAGAGTCCGACATCACATCGTATATAAAATCCCACTCCAGATCAAGTCGATAGGCTTCAAAGTCATATGCTAATGTGTTAAAATCATATAACAATTATCAGATTCGAATTGTAATTCCCAAAATGCTGTGACTCTTATGACATCATAATATATTAAACCCTACCTGTGAGGTAGCAACATGATATAGAAAGAGACATAGGGCACCAATAATTTGTATTTTAACACAGGCATTTGAAAAGTATACGGTAAATAAATTGCCAAAGGAGAAGGTGTTTTTCCAACATTCAAGTGATTCCAATCTTTACATCGTCCATCCCACGCTGCAGTGGATTGGTACATTTGTGCGCGTCAGTGAAACTTGTAGGAAATTTATTCAAAAATTTTTATCTCTCACCTTGAGTTTAGAGTGTTTTAAGAAACCTTGTCACATTATGACGTAATGTCTATGCTTGTTGACGTCCTTAAAATATCCACTGCCTGCCAGACAGTGTCAGTGTGATATTGTTTAATGATAATGTCTCATTGTATAAAACACTGTATTGAAGGTGTTGTCAATAATTGGCATCTTTAAACTTAATTATTCCTGAGTTGCTCTGTGCAATCTTGTACCTCATGCAGACATATTAAAGCCGTATGTTGTACATGGCTTCTAAAACATTTGAATTTGTAGCTTGTATTACATTATCAGATTTTTTGAATTTGTCTCTTTATTTGGTAAAGAAGAATTTGTTTTCAGGAAAGACATCAGCATAAAGTTTAAAAATAATAAGTGTATATGTAATATTGCTAAATCACGTACCCCGAAATTCGTCTAAATTTCAGTACAATTAATGAATGAGAGAATACTTTTTTTGCTCTGACCTAAGACTGTTATGAGTTGTTATAAGTAGGATATCAATAGAAATGAGTCTGAACTTTGTGTTCAATGTATCGGTTCGTTTTAAATCCTCGTGGAGAATTTTCCACACATTGACTAAAGCAGACACAAGGGCACACCTATAATTAGGTTTGGGGATTCACTTTTACCATTAGTTAAGCTTGGATTTTGATGTTCTCCGGCGTGCAACAAGTTGACGCTCAAAGAAATAATTTTGTATTTAATTAAATCGTTTTATGAGTATAACTACCATTTCTCTCTCGATGTCACCGTATTTAAATTACGATAGACAGCTGAGAATGTTTGTCTAAAAACTTGCCTTTTAATTTTACAGCGTATGTCATTACTGGTTGCTCTGACCATGACAGACAATACACGTATAGTCACAGCCTCAAAAACAACGATACATTTCCCTCATGAAAAGACAGCTGCATTTAACCTCCTTGGCGTATTTTGGCAGTTTCCACCAGTGAGCCAAAAGGAAAGAACCCACAGCTCTTTTGCCGGGTTTCAGTGAGATCCATCAATAATTATGGGGAGGATTGAGGGTTTGTGCCGCCGCCCCTTCGTGACACATACATGCTAACAGAACCAAACTAATCACATAAAAAGAAGAGTAACGATATGAAGCCGATGTCGATGAGATCGGAAGTTTAATTTGAAAAGTGGCTTGGTCATCGTATAGCTGGCTCGAGGATTGTCAGAGGGTGGGTTCCAAATAAAGCTTAGGATCCGCTTTAACAGGAACCTACACTACAAGGTCAGGTGCTCCACAAGATATTTTTAAAGGATGTCAAATCCTGAAATCTCAGTGGTGCATTTCAAGCCCTTAAAAAGACAAATCCACGACTTCTATTTTGTGGTTTTGTTCCACTAAGGGATGGTTACGGGTGCGGATTCAGAAGGGGGTAGGGCCCCTGTTGTCACACACACACACACCCACACACACCATATTATAAATAAAATATGAAATAGCAATACCTGTAAGGGTGTATCAGCAACATTGTCATGCATTAACGTTTCCGCCTGTCTGGACATAAATTCAGACCTAAGAATTTGAGGGCATGACCCCCCCCCCAGAAACTTTCCTGGAACCACCCCTCAAATAAAATAAAGTTACTGTAAACATGCTGTAAAAGCCTCCAATCAGCGTCTCCAACTGCCGTTTATTCACCAACCAAAGGCAGTACGTTGAAGTATTGATGCCTGCGGCAAGTTTGTTTCCGTATTATCATATACTTTGTGAGCATCAATCATGCGATGCTTTTCAATGCCCAAATTTTGTTCGAAAGAGGTATGCGAAGGTCATTCGCGAGTGGAAACAAACTACCGTAGATTGTTCCCGTAGTAAATGCACTCGTCATTCAACTTGCCCGCTGACTGCTTTGCATATGTAAAATGCAAAATATGCTCTCAGTAAAATCCGTTGTGGGAGAACAGTCTTTTTCTGAGCTGACACCAAATACGACGGGTTGCTTCCACAGGTTGCCATATCAGTCTCCAATTATCCATCCTTACTGAAATAACGCGTAAGTATCGTTCAACTGAATTATGAGGCTATATGATACAGACTGTCATGCAAATATTGACCACAAAGATGTTAGAACAAACTCGGAAACCTATATCCACACCGCATTGTTGTTTTTTCATAGCATTCATGTGATATCATCTGGCATGTGGTTGAGTGTTTTAATGATTGGAGCAGATTGTTCCAGTTAAAAGTGCTATTTATTTTTCATTTTTATTTCCAGGTCCTCATTCAGAGTTGCAGCCATGAGTGACCCTCCTAAGACTGTCATAAAAAATGCAGACATGTCTGAGGACATGCAGCAGGACGCAACCAACTGCGCTGTACAAGCTACAGAGAAGTTTAACATTGAGAAAGATATTGCTGCTTACATCAAGAAGGAGTTCGATAAAAAGTACAACCCGACCTGGCACTGCATTGTGGGACGGAATTTTGGCAGCTACGTCACACATGAGACCAAGCACTTCATCTACTTCTATTTGGGACAGACGGCCATTCTGCTGTTCAAGTCGGGATAATGACTGTCAAAATTGATGTAGTCTTCTTCAGGCCGGGTCCATGGGATGTGGGCCACCCTGACGGACTAATTAGGCATGTGTGTACATGTACAGTACATAGCCTGTGCACAGCGACAAGCATGCTACAAGTAACATGGCGCGTATTTGGTGTCATTAACCTCAGTTAAAATAAAATTAGTGTATAGGTACATTGTTTCCAAGCTAATTTGAATGTGTTTTTCAGTGTCATCCATTTCTATACATATATATATATATCAATTTTTACAGATAACTGAATGCCCTCTAAATTGTACTACGAAACCTGCGTGATTATTTCAGAGCCGTGTTGGGTATATTTTGTACAACTAATTCGAAGTACCGGTACAATTAAACAAAACTTCGAGGTACGAAGAGAATTTTTGAACATGCCCAGTCATATTGGAATGGCTTGACTATTTGTGTCGTTGAATTGTACAATTTGACTACTTTCAATCGAGGACCTATTTTTGCATTCGTTTTAAGATTACTAGAATGATAAATATTTTCGAAAATGTAGCCTATACAACTCTAATGCAAAAGTGGTGAATTCGGAAAACGATAAACATGCATGACGTTGACGCTCGCACTCTGTGGAATAAAGAACTTCAAGTTGATTTCATAATAGCGTTTTAAATCTTCAATCTTCTGACGCTGTTTAGCAGTATGTTTTACCTTTCCAGTTCTTAAGCTAAGCTATTAAATGGGCGACAATGAATACACTTTTATTAAAAACAATTTAAGATGAAGTGAAACGAGCTTATTGGTGATTCTGTGCTATTCAATTAAAATTTCAATTTGGCTTTGAGTTAAATTAGTGAACTCGAGGTAAAAGAAAAACAGTTGAGCTATAACCAACTTATCTTCTCCCCTTTGAGTGTGTGAACAAAGTGTTTCACAGGAGAAGTGCATATTTACATCATTCATTTGGCCAAGTTCAAGTTGTGTGTAGAAACATTTTGGTTGTACAAGTGAATGACTTTAATCAATGTGGTTTATCCTTTTGTATTCAAGTTTTCATACTATTCAATGTGTTACAGTTCCTCTGGAGGCTTAAGGTCTGCGATGTTTTTTAAATTCCCGGCTGAATCAAATGTAGTACTTCTCAGTGCAACGGCTTGAATCTGTGGTACCAGTTAACCCAAAAAATGAGCCTGGGTATTTTGACCCATCTCACAGCCGGGGGAGGGAGTACTCCACTGTGCCACACTGCCGATATTCTTGTAAAGAAACTCTTTATTACAAATGGTGATCTGATGAAGTCCGAACTCGGTCAGACACGGTTTGGTTGTTATATACGGTCATTTGAAATTCAAGGCTACATGCGTACCAGCCCGTGTGGAAAAGTGTACATTTTAGGCTGACCTGTCTCGGGAAAAAATACTGAGCGCTGTGTAAGAACGGTACGTTTGATTTTCACAAAATTAGTGTCAAAATTAGTTTCTCTAAAAACTCCTTAAGGCTCAGCTCCAGAAAAAAACGCATTGCAGCGATATAGGAAATAATGTCGAGGACAGAATCTGCCCCCAGCTCTTAGGGTTAAGGACTATTTTTTGTCATAAACGATTATTCGTCAAGTCAATTCCATCCCAGTTCAACACCAGGCGTCAAGAGATCGTGTTAAAGTCTTTTTTTTTTCCAATTTCGTGATTGTGAAGAGGTGATTGTGAAAGTCATTAGATCAGGGCATAGACAGTTATGTGGGAAAGACATTGAATCGTTAAGCGAAACTATACCCACAGAATGATTTTCATCAGCATCCCTGAGCTGAGTGTCACTCTACGAGCAATGGCCTTGTGGAAAGTGGGAGCAAGGTACCGTAGAGCTTGTAGTCAATTCACCAATCAGCGATCCCCAAATAAATACGTCAGCCTATCAGGTCGAGTGACCTAAATATGATGTGCGTTTCTAAACGCGACCTTCACATTTTGTCAATTTCCGTGTGCCGAGTATTCTCTGAATAACAAGTGTTTGTTCCCTCCATACATGACTTACCCAGTTATTGTGCTGCACCACTCCTGTGTGCATTCCAAGAGCTGGAGGCACGAACTAACTCGCGTCGAATTCGCAACAATTTACAGCGACTCTCCCAACTATTGTCCAATTAGAAGTGTTGCTTATATTTAATGTCCAATCACTTTTTTGCTACGGTGTGAGCCCACAGGTGCATGACCACCGAAAGCTCCGATCCGTCCCCTCTCTAATTTCCAAAAGTGCACGTTATATTTGTCAAAGGATTGCAGGTAACTGTACACTAGCAAGAAGAGTTGTCATCGGTAACGAATCGGTAGTGTGAACAGTTCAACATAGCTGAGTATCAGGTAAGAAAACTGCGTGAAACTCATGTAGCCAGTTATTTCAGCCAGGTAACGTGGAATCCATGAAGGGCCGATCAGCGGGTTATATGACTTGTTTCTGTTGTAGGGGATATCAGTCGCAGACATCTGTACCGTTCGGCCTGTAGGCTGTAATATTTTAATTTACAATAGGGCTTACATTTTTTAGCAAAAGCATGCATACAAAGGGACACTGAAAAAATGTCCTCGCCATCCGGAAATCTCCGCCAATCATTTCGACAGTAATCTTGGTTAATTTATTACACACGAAGCTGTTCGTAGTACCGTGGAAGGAGTGCTTGCTTTCACGGGGATTTCTGTTGCGTTACTGAATTTGGAATGAGATGAGAGTGTTAAATCCCAACTAGTACATGTATACAAATGATGGTATAGTAACGGGGACTCATCGATTATGCTCACAATTTTTCGTCTGAACCAAAGCTCTCCAGGAAATTAGAGTCATGTAGCTATTTTTAGAAGAATGGAAAGCATCGAATCACTACTTTTTTCCTCGGTACCACTGCCACTGAGTTCGTACCTTTATTCCCCCAGCGTACACCCAGCGACTCGAACCGAAAACGCCCCTTCCTCTCACTCCGAATCTTTGAACTGTTGATCAATTGCTTCCTGCTTTCAACCCGTGCTTTTCAGACCAGCTGTCGTTTTCAACCAAACAAGATGGCTTCCGACAAGAAAGCTGTAGTCAAGAACGCGGATATGTCTGAAGAAATGCAACAGGATGCCGTTGAGTGTGCCAAGCAAGCAATGGAGAAGTTCAACATCGAGAAGGATATCGCTGCCTTCGTGAAGAAGGAGTTCGACAAGAAGTTCAACCCGACCTGGCACTGCATTGTGGGAAGGAACTTCGGTAGCTATGTCACACATGAGACCAAACACTTCATCTACTTCTACCTAGATCAAGTAGCTGTACTGCTCTTCAAGTCTGGTTAATGCCGTGCCGCTGGAACACCAGCCTGGCAGCAGTGAAAAGCAGTGGCTGTTTTGTGGACTTCTTACAACAGCGGTTAATTATGAATTTTAGCCATTCAGGACTTGCAAAATATCTTTTTATTTCGCCCTCTGACTTGGTTCCTTGTGAGGTGCCCAGACTTTGGCCAAAAAGAAAAGATGGCTGCTATTAAAGAGTTGCAGATATTGCCATGAAGCAATTACATCATACTGAGACTCTCCTGTATCGGGCGCGTAGCCAGAGTTTCTGGTTTCTAATTCCAAAATGTTTATCCCGTTTAGGTTACGAGTGGTAAAGGCACAAGGAAGAGAAAAGTCACTTGCATTACGTAAAAGTCATGAGATCATTCCTTTTTTTCTACTCGTTTCTGGAATATCGAGGTACTAAAATTGCCTTTAATGATATGTTCACATTTAACAGTATACATGACATAATATACTCTATATTCAAGCAAGCAGTAAGATGCATGGCTCTGGGTAAAGTAAATGTGGACATTCTTGAACAGGTAATCTTTATATTACTTTCAAATTACTCATTTATTATCAACTGATTTGGTTTACCGATATGACCGACGTCTTTAGCAAATCGCTTTGCGACGGCTTTCGCTGTGTTTGCATTGGTGCCGCATACAAAGGCTAGTTTTAAAGTAAAATGGTTAGAATTGAAATAAAGTTTTGTAAGCATTCTCGTTTATCGGTGATCGATTATTAAAAGTTTAGAAATTTAGTTTAAAGGTACTCGGAATGGATGGCCATTGTAACGGATTATGAATAATTATTGTTCTGAAATTCAACTGAAAATATCTCTAATAAAAAGGTGTTCGTGTGATTTTGCAATGTAGGCCAATTGTTTATCAAAAGTAGTGACTGGCTGAAATATAAATTTAAAATTTTCAATGTGAAATAGTGAATAAAAACAAATAAATATATTGTTCAGAGTAACTGAATACCTGATGTTCTAAAATAAAACACTGAATTTGTGTCTGAGCTGCAAGAGAATAAGGAAACTGGTGATTTTAAGACGGCAAAAGAGCTCTACACTGCGTTGGAGTATTAGTGTCTGATCCTCCATCTTTGAACATGATATGCAATCCCAATTTGCTTCTCTCAACTTGACAACTCTTTATGACGCACACAGCGCTAAAACGGTTGGATCCAGTCCCATTTTATACATGATTGTCGTCGATCGGAGGGGCAAGGTTTGTTGATATCACAAATAAGATTATGAATGTCAAAAAGTTGATTTCTTACTTTAGTTTGGCCGAACGCCATGGTGATAAAGCTTTCTGTCATCGTATAGGGGTACCCTTTTTTCACAGCTATTTGCAACATAGACGTTGTTGCTTCATGCGTCCATTTTACAGACCAAAAACTAGCCACCATTACTAGATAAGCATTGTACCGGCTACTCACGCCATTTTAAAATAATTTTTTAATGACCTTGACTGAGTGCTGGTAGAGGGTGAAAGAGGCGCAAGGCTTACACGCTGAGCCTCAAACTTATGCTTCAAAAATTTATACTTGCCTACGTGATAACCATTCTGTGAATTGAGCATTGAAGAATAACAATTTCCCAAGCATACAAAAAAGTCTTACTATTAATCGCATGTTTGAACAGAACGTTAATTTCTTCCTTTACATTTCACGCATTTACCATGCATACAATGTACGTCCTCAGGAAAAAAAATCATTTTCTGAAGATTATTTTCGAGGCTCATAGTACGTACATGTACATGTACATGTGTACGTAGGGCCTGCTTACGGAAGCCTGTCGTGCTCTGGTTGGACAGTGTGGTCGCCCACACTGTTACCGTGACCCAAAGTACCATGCATATTTACTACAATAACTGTAAATATGTTCTATTACAATAACTGTGATAGTTCTACCATGGGTTGTAGCTCTGTGGTTCTACATAACAATAGCCCATAACGTCTGCTGATGAATAAATGTGCGCCCTCTTTTGGTCAGTTTAATCAAATTAACCATTACTCGATACTTCATAAGATTCGATTCCAAATAACGAAACAAAGCTGATTTTGTTTTACTAAAAAAGAGAGATGCGAAGAAAAGTAGAAAATAATGAAGTTCTTTCGGGCTCCTCATGTCAAATGTCCGATATTGTAGGTGCCGTTTACACTTGAACTGTGGACCGTTTGGTGGAATTACGACCTAGCATACTTGAAAAAAGGGGAAAAAATAAAAAAGAAAGGATATTTCAAGGAGCCCGGGTGGCACTTAATTTCGCTGATGGAAATAAGTCCCCGGTGTTAATCTGATAAAATTTTGGATTTTTCTTGTAGTAATCATGATTTAGTTGACTTTAACTAATATTGTCTAATTTTCAGTGTACATGTAAAATAAGGGGGCTTATGTTTGGGGTTTGTTGGCTTTGAGAAAAGCCTACATTTCTTTCAATAACAGCATTTACAAAATACGCCCTAGATTCGTTTTATGAATGATGTAACGTTTAGAAAAAATCTTCTGGCACAACTGATAAGACATGGGGTTTTCAGCTTCACCGTCATCTCAACTTCACAGTCATTGGGAGCATTTTTTAAAATTTAATTAATCCTCCCTTCAGTGTAAAAGTCGAATATACATGTACATGTCCTCTCTTCTGAATTAACCTTTATTTAAAGGAACTTAACGTGGTGTGTGTGGTCGATACCCATCTGTGCTTGAATCGAATACCTCTCTAAACTCGAAATTTATGGTACCGTTTAAATTCGCCATCTTTAATCACGTCAGAAAATCAATACATGCGACAGATTCCATCCATCTGGAATTTGGTGACACTCCTATTTTCCGTCTATTTAGATTTCCATGGTGGTCTTGCAGAGTTGACATAAGTTTAGAACGCAGAAGTTTCCTTTCATTTTTTTCAAGGTGTTGTTTTTGTCAAAGATTGGGAATCTTAGCCGGTCACCTAATCCGATCACGCACAACGTTTGTGAAGCAGCCAAGACGACCGAGGCTGGCGGTCGATGGGCTGTGGTCGTCGGTGTGCGTCAGAACTGGTTTCATACCGAAGAGTCGGAAACCAACACAGACCTTCAGGGTGAGTCTCCAAAGAAAAATTTCAGGAGAGATTTTACTTTAATTCCCTGCCCATGTTCATGCACCAATAAACCTTTTCGACGTTTGTAACGCATTATGGGTGTGGATGACTAATATTAAAATAAGTGATGCATTTTATGTCAAAAATCAAGTTAACAGTTTTCTACTAAATATTTCTTGTGTATCTGCTCATCAATTCACAGATGCATGCGTATTATCAGATTATACAAGAAACATTTTCAAATACATTTTCAAATATTTGTAAGAACAAATCAACCTTAATTGCCTTTTTTTAAGGGCACCAGTCACTCTACAGGCTGAAAATGAACATGACTGGTCAAAGTGGGATGCATGAGCTGCAAGCCGTAATTTTGATTGGACAATACGAGTTATTCACGACATTAGTCAGCATGGTCTGTGTCAAAAAAGTGATGTTGTTGGAAGGAATTCTCCGAATTTTCCTTCTCTACCAAGCTTTAACCTTCAAAGTTTGTATATATGTTCATCCCAAATCAATAATGCAACACTTGTCAGAAGGGGATGACTTGAATTGGAGTATGTAATAAAAGGTTTTGCAGGTAAGCTTCTCCCATAGCGTTGTGCATAAAATGCATTGCATGTATGTCATCCAAACCCACAATGCATTGCGTACGTTGAAAAGGTTTTTTCACTGCATAGGTCTAGCCTAGCCCAGGTTGGATGACGTCTGCATTGCAGTCCTCCTAGTCAGTCCTAGGCCTGTGCAGAATTTTTTCATTTTTTTCTTATATTTTTACCTAGCAAAGACAGCTCAAAATGTCATTTATAAGTGCCTTGTATCCCAAAATCCATAAATGCTGTGTTGAAATTACTAAGTACGCCCGTGGTCAACGTATTTTGCAGGAAATTTTTTGAAATTCCACGCTTTCTGTCGCGATTTGTTAACAATCTAGCACATGTATGTATGGAAACATGTTTGTCTATGTTTAGCATGCATACTCGCACATGCGCGAAATGCATAGTAACCTACATGTAGTGCCCCTTACGCATGCGCGGAAGAGCCGTGGGTGTCAAGAAGTTGCAGATATGGCCACCATGTCGAAGGGGCTTCCAAAGATACGGCTAGGTCTATTGTCTGCACGTCTCCATGTATTTCTGATGTAGGGAATACCTAGACCTAGCTCTAGACAACATGCGTAACTGACAGAGTGTGGGCGGAGCTTGGAGGTCATTTCGCGCATGGGCAAATGCGTACTACCGCACGAATGTAGATCGTTCATGAATCGCGACGGAAAGCGTGGAGTTTCCCAGAATTTTCTGCAAAATATGTTGTCCGCGGGCGTATCTAGTCCCTTCATCACAGCATTTATGAAATTCGGGATACAGGCACTTTGTGAATGACATTTGAGCTGTCTTTATCAGGTAAAATGCGAGAAGAAACTGTTGAAAGAAATTTTGCGTAATAGAAGGACTTTTATACCCTGGACGTTAGTCACAATATAAAGAAGACGTTGTCCAGCCTGGCCTAGGCAGGCCTAGCCCAGGTTGGATGTTGTCTTCATTTCATTACAACTGACATCCAGGGTCTAAGACTTATGTACAAAACGACGTCAAAGTTGGTTATAATTTGTTCTTGGTTTACCTTGTCGAAGAAACTAATTTTCCATGTTTACAATTTCTTCGTGGATGGTTTAGGAATTTCAGAACGAACCATGGACTGCAAAAATGAGGAAAATAAGTGAGAGACAACGTTACTTTTGTAGACGTAATTCTTCCGTTCTCGAGTTATAAAGTGCACGCACGTTGAATTCGAGCTGCGTGCACGCACATTTCCAGTGGAGGTCTGTTGCATGCCTGCTACACGGAGGCCGTGACTGGTACCCAGCTTTCACCCGCCTGCTGTCAAGCCTATAAAAAAATTGCAGTTCCGTTTTTGTCGGATCAGGGGCTTCAAACTAACCAATTAACCCACTATTGGTTCAGCGTTTTAGCTAGCGAGCTGTGCATTCGTCTTTTGCTCGGCCAGTTTGGTGAGATCACGGCCCATTTTTTCAAGCACGGCCTAGTGGTACAAATAAAGCCATGCACTACTTAATTCGAGGCTTTTGTAATCTAGATATAAAATCTGAGCTAAAATTCAGTCTTTTCCCATGCTTTTTCCCCCATCAACCAAGTCCGAAATAAAGTAAGTAAAGTACATGTATGCTGGGACTACAGTTCGGACATACTGTATGTTTGGTTTGAACGTATCAACACCGGCAGGCAGGTTTCCTTACTTACAGTTAATGAACTACAGCACTGTATCTATCAACTTGTAACAAAATGAATACAGGGAGCCATACTTGTTCTCTATGAAGTGTTGAACATGTTTAATTTGTACGTAGAGTTTTATTGGTTAAAGATGTATAAATACCCAATATTGTAGAGATCCGATTTTATTAGAATGAAAGAGTAACTTATCTTGAAAATTGAGGAATAAAAAAGAGGATTACATTGCGGGCATGATGATGATGATGAACAGGTGAGAGTGATGCTAATTTGATCGGGAACACCGTACGCAGAGGCAGTACTGGCATGCGCACTTGCGGTAAGTAGCGATTACGCACAAATAATGCTGTTGATTGGCCTTTCCATTTTTATTATTTGTAAACTAAACATACAATAAGCAGACTGAATTGGTAGCTGGCTGTGACGAGTTGGATTTTAGAGCTAGTCAGATAGCTAGACTGTCAAAGTTTTTAAAAATCTCTTCATTCATAATCATAGGATTGTGGGGGTGAAGAGATGCTCTCTTAAAACCCTCAGCCTCACGTACATGTACATGTAGGCCTACATCAAACAGCTAGAAACTCAAGTTCACGTGTACTGTGTAGTTGTTTGGAGTCCTCTGTAATCATGAGTTCCTTCCGATGTTCTTGTCAATGTTTTTCACCAGTGAAGAAATGTCACCGAACAGTTTTGTCAGTGGGCTTAAAATTCTTTGGCTTGGGAGGTTGACGTTTATGGTCATGCTGGAGTTCTGTCTGATTATCGGGCAATGGATCCCAACAATGTGTAATATATCAACATACTCAATCTAAAAATAGGTGATTTTTCATTTTTAAATTCAGGCCCAAGAGATCATGATTGTTAATTGCCATTATTGACTGTCATATCAGTCTAATTTATTTTAAAATATATTTATCTGTGCCAGCGCATTTTGGAAAAGTTCTTCAAATCTTAAAAAAAAGTATTCGGTGTAACTTTTAAAATGGGACAAATCAACAGATATGTATAAATTGCTAGCAACAGAAATATGCCAAAGCCTTGCTGGATTTAATACCCTCGACACGAAACTGCCAGGAGTCACTTAACTACATGTATATCGAATGTTGTGAACACCTTTTGTCTGTATATTTTAAGTCCACCTGTTAACACACAATACATGCTGAAAAATGGCCAGGATTTGTACAAATCATGAATTTTAGCTTTCCTGTACTGGCCATAGGAGAATCAGCTTGCATGCAGGTAACTAGGCATGTGTGTACTCGGCAGGGAGATCAATGATGCTCATGGCTGAGAACCATGTTGCGCGCTACGTGCTTTATGTGAGTGTTTACAAAATGAATGGATTCGGTTAGACTTGATTTTCGCTGGTTCCACTCAGAACATATAGGGTGCTTTCGAGCGTGCTACTCGCGTTAACAAGTATACTCCTTAGCACTCAAACGGCTGGAGTACGACCCGAAGGTTAGCGAGAGTATACTCCTGTACCCACAATGCGCATGCATTCTACTTGTGTTAACGGGAGTAACCACGAGAATGCACCCAAAGTGTTGCGTGCACACTCTACGAGTTGCATTGGAGAATGGGTGAAAATAGTCCACGACAATGGTAAAAATTAATGTTACATCCGACTATACATGTATTTTACGGTTTTTGTCTTTGGTGGTGATATGTCAAATTTCTTATCCCACCAGCTGTGGAAATAAGGACGTGTAGGAGTTACAGACGTCAAATTGGCTCTTTGGAAAAGGTAGAATTGTTGACAATTTTAGTTATAGAATTTTTTGCCCAGTTTTGCACCCTTTATATCCTGGACTCCTTCTGTAACGTAGTACGGTCAGGGAGTCCACCTGGGCTAGTCCTACATGTAATTACAAATTATCACCTGAAATGGGATGCCTGGTCATGTTGGCCACTGTCATGCAGGTGGATAAGTGGTTTAGGCATGTTGAGTGGGGGAAACTGGAAAAAACCTTGTTGAGTATTTACTTTGGTATATTCTATATTGCATTTGAGGTCAAAAGGTCAAGGGTCAAGGTCAAAATGGTTAAAACAACAGAAATCTTGTCAGCACAATAAATTGAGAGCTACACTACAGTACTTGACATGTGGGTTTACATGTAAATTTGGTTCATGGATTGTTGTTGGTAGTCCTAAGGAATCTAGTGCATTTGGTGCACCAGGTTGTTGGGCACTTTTTGCCGTACTACATTTTTGGCACATTACAAGAAAGACTGACAGTCTTTCAGCATTTTGACCTTTTCTTGGCTGTGCTACAAGAAACAATTAAGCTCTTGGATCTTTTGTTACAACAGATAAATGGTGGATCTACAGTAAATATTTGTAGTACTGTAGGTCTACAGCAATATGGTGAACACAAAAACATTTATACCTTGATCGGATGTATGTTTTTAACCCTATATGTACGTATATTGTACCAGTTCATGTAGCTTAGTACTACAGCTAAAAATACTCTGGCCGACACTGTACGTGTACTGTACATGTGTTCATGAACATGTACCGGTAATTATTATAACTTATTAATTACATACTGTAGGACAAATTTTATTTGTACTACATGCGTCTTAGTTTTTATGAAAAATTTTTCACTCAGAAGATGAAAAACATTTTGAGAAGTTGAGAACATTTTGAGAAACAAGTTACAGGCTTCATTCTTTACAGTAGCCACCAGCAGCCACTGCTGCGATGCCCCAGTGAATTATCGTGATGCCCTCTGAAAATAGCATGTACATGTAC